TTCCTTCCAAGGTTTGCAAAACTTTTTTGCGATCACACAACGAAATCATATTGATTTCCCCATTCTTCTCCTGCACGTCCCCACGTAATTGGGATAGAATTCAAAAGAACAGCTCCCGAGATTTGAATGGTGCTGCAGAATTAAATATATAAATGCATTCGGCCAGCCACGGCTTTCTATCGCGCACGGCCTCGAATCCACTGGTTGCGTTCGCAAAACACCCTGAACTTCTACTGGGTAGCCAGACTCGTATCTTTCTTAGGGCTCGATGTAACTCGGGCAAAGCCAGAACAGCTGGACACCCTTCGGAGTTCCGAAATGTAGGCAGGCGCTCCAGATTCAGAAGCCGGAATTCCCGGTCCCGGGTTCCGTTCGCACAACCCTTTGTCCCGCAAGTCACGGGTTCGGGAAAGGTTGCCGTGCCCAGCATCTTCGGCCAAGTCAGGACCTGGGCCGGGCGGTCGTGCGAACGCAGCCCCAGGGCAGGCTCCGGAGCCAGCGGAATCGGACGCAGCTGAGCCTAAAGACGCGGGTCGAGTTCCACCAAGGCTACACGTGTCCCGTCCAGCTCCTTCTGCAAAACCCCACCGCGGCTTACCTGGACAGCACCGTCCGGAGAGCCGCAGCAAGAGTCCCTCGTCCCCTGCCAGCCCTGGAAGGAGGAGGGCAGCCACCAGCTGCTGCCACCAGCGGTTCCCTGCGACGCGCCCTGCCTGCCAGCCAGCCTGCTTGCCCGCCTGCCCGCCCGCCCGCCACAGCTGACCCGGCGCTCCCTGGCAGAGGTGCGAAAACCCGGCCTGGATCCCCCGAGCGAGGCGCTGCTCCGCGGCCGAGCGCCGCCCCGAGGAGAGGAAAAACCCGGCCTGGATGAGCAGAAGGGGCACGGCCGCTCGGGGGGGCCCGCCCCCCCCCCCCCCCCCCGAGCTGGTAGGAAGCAAAGTGCCAATAGGGTCCAAGTCTTTAGGTCTTCATTGGAGCCAACAGTCAAAACAGGAGTTCAGGGCCATGGAATGGAATGGAATGGAATGGAATGGAATGGAATAGAATAGAATAGAATAGAATAGAATAGAATAGAATAGAATAGAAAATACAGAATGGAATGGAATGGAATTATTATTATTATATTATTATAATTTTATTTCTATACCGCCCTTCTCCTGCGGGACTCAGGGCGGTGTACAGCCAAGATAAAACATTGCATATAAAATTTAAAAACAATTTAAAAAACAATTAAATAATTTCGGCCCAAGATATTAAAAACAACCCAATTAAAACCAAATTCAATTAAAACTGAGAGGATGGGATCAAGCCAGCCCAGCTAGATGGAATAGGTGTGTCTTCAGGGCCCGATGAAAAGTCCGGAGGTCTGATATCGTGCGTATCTCAGGGGGTAGGTCATTCCAGAGGGCGGGTGCTGCCACAGAGAAGGCTCTCTCCCTGGAGGTCGCCAGCTGACACTGTCTGGCCGACGGCACCCTGAGGAGGCCCTCTCTGTGCGAGCGAACCGGTCGGTGGGAGGCTATTGGCGGCAGAAGGCGGTCTCGCAGATAACCCGGCCCTAAGACATGGAGCGCTTTAAAGGCGGTCACCAACACCTTGAAGCGCACCCAGAAGACCACAGGAAGCCAGTGCAGCTCGCGCAGGAGAGGTGTCATATATGAGCGCCCCGTCGCTCCCATAATCCCCCGCGCGGCCGCATTCTGGACTAACTGTAGCCTCCGGGTGCACCCCAAGGGGAGCCCTATGTAGAGAGCATTGCAGTAGTCCAGGCGGGAAGGGACGAGTGCTTGAGTGACCGTGCGTAGGGAGTCCCAATCCAGAAAGGGGCGCAACTGGCGTATCAGGCGAACCTGATAAAAAGCCCCCCTGGCCACGGCCGTCATGTGCTCTTCTAAAGACAGCCGTGGAATGGAATGGAATGGAATAGAATAGAATAGAATTCTTTATTGGCTAAGTGTGATTGGGCACACAAGGAATTTGCCTCTGGTGCATAAGCTCTCAGTGTACATACAAGCAACAAGTGATCAAATGTTTTTTTCTCCTAATATTATAACTCTTGAAGACTTGAAATAACTATTAGGGTTGATTCTGATATTCGATAATTCCCATTAAATCAATATTTCGGGTGATAAACAAGCTTTTGGCTGAGTACTATCACCAAGCAGTGCCTATTCCAAACCAGGAATGTCCAACAGCTCTGGACTCCAACCCCCATCCTCCTCAGCCAGGTAGACCCAAGAGTTTCAGAGACAGACCCCTATGGAATAAGGATGCATCCACCATCGGATGCTAGATTATAGCCAAACGTGCCAGGGAGGTTAGGGTAAGAAATATTGCTGGCCAATATTTAAGTGAATTTAGTTGAGGGAGGACTTGAAACTCATGTCAGCTGACATAAACATTTATGGCATGTGATTTTACATCCCTTAAAAAAAAATAAATAAGCAACACATTTATTCTGCAACTCTCTAATTTTGAATAATTTGCCCTGCCTTTTTCAGAGATTCCAGACGGTTTTAATACCAAACTAATGGATTATTGCATGGATTTGGGGGGATCACTACATCTGAAGTATAAAATCTGATGTTGCAAAACAGGCTTCTACAGCTGCTAGCAAAATGCTTTTATGCGAGAAGTTCTTTTCAGGATGTGCCCAATACTCCTTCCTCCTCCCATTTTCCCCATAACAACAACCCTGTAAAGTGGTTGGGTTGAAAGAGAGTGATTGGCCCAAAGTTATGGAGCTAGCTTCCAAGCCTAAGGCAAGACTAGAACTCACTGCCTCCTGGTTTCCAGCCTGGCGCCTTAACTACTAGAAAGTACCCACCACTGAAATACACATTAAAGGGTTTGGGGATATTTATTTATTTTTATTTTTATTTGATTTATATGCCGCCCTTCTCCGGAGACTCAGGGCGGCTTACAGTGCGTTAAGCAATAGCCTTCATCCTTTTGTATATTTATACAAAGTCAGCTTATTGCCCCCACAAACTGGGTTCTCAATTCACCTACCTTAGAAAGGATGGAAGGCTGAGTCAACCTTGAGCCTGGCGGGATTCGAACCTGCAGTAATTGCAGGCAGCTGGTGTTAAATTACAGTGCCTTGTCTGCAGAGTTATCCAGGCTCCTGGGTGTTCTAGAGAGGTTTGTAAAAACCGAAGAACGGGGGAAATCCAGAACGAATCCTCAAGTTATTCAGGATCCAGAGGGATTATTAGGAATGGGAGGAGCTGGGGAAATAGATGAAGAACGGAGTGGTGTATCCTTAAGAGGGAGGGAAGAATTCCCTTCCCAGCCCACAGAATTTTGTTATAAATCCCATTTGTCTAGACTGAATTCTTTTTGGTATGTCAGCTATGCACCATTGTATCCATCCATGCTTGCGTGATCTGGAGAACCAATGCATTTCAGAAGGGATGTGTGAAAAACTTGTTTTAAATTAAGACATTTGCTTAGGAAATAAATGTAAATCAACCACACGGCATCGTCTAAATTAGCAAAGAGTCCAGATTCCAAACTCAGCATCTTTAGTCGGGCTCATTTATTACAGGGGTTCTGGAGGCGCTCCGCTTTTCAGCACAAACCGACTTTTGCCAAATCCCCCCGAAAGCTGAAAAGTGAAAGACAGTTTGAATTAAGTTATCCTTTCTTTTAACCTTTAACTAGTTGAGCAGGTCTGGTTAGATTAATTCACGCTTCATTTAATCCATGGTTTTACAAGCCATTCGAGCAGCTGAACAGAGGATTATTTTAGATCTTAATGTGGTTTCTTTCATTTTGGTTTCAGGCAGTTTTTTTCTCAAAGTTGGCAACTTTAAGACACGGGGAATACAATTCCCAGAATTCCCCAGATAGCTTAAAGCAGATGTCAAACTTGGCAGCTGGCTGGAGAATTCTGGGAGTTGAAGTCCACAAGTCTTAAAGCTGCCAAGTTTGAAGGTCTCTGGTTTAAAGGCAAGAGATAACTGGTGCATCTTGTTCACTCTTCTTCTCCAGTTTTGGAATAAAAATGGGGCGCCCCATCTGGAGCAACTTGGTAGTACAATGGTCTAAAGCACCCTGTTATTAAGACCAACTGCCTGCAATTACTGCAGGTTCTAATCTCGCCAGGCTCAAGGTTGACTCAGCCTTCCATCCTTTCTAAGGTAGGTAAATTGAGGACCCAGTTTGTGAGGGCAATAAGCTGACTTTGTATAAATATACAAAAGGATGAAGGCTATTGCTTAGCGCATTGTAAGCCGCCCTGAGTCTCCGGAGAAGGGCGGCATATAAATCAAATTAAAAAAAAAAAAAAAAGTTGAGGACTACCTGTAATAAAACCACTTTAGTCTAGTAGTTAAGGCACTAGGCTAGAGAGCTGGAGACCGTGAGTTCTAATTCTAATCAGGAGCCTGGATAGCTCTGCAGACTAAAAGCACTATAATTTAGCACCAGCTGTCTGCAATTAAAGTAAGTTCAAATCTCGCCAGGCTCAAGGTTGACTCAGCCTTCCATCCTTTCTAAGGTAGGTGAAATGAGGACCCAGATTGTGGGGGCAATAAGCTGACTTTGTATAAATATACAAAAGGATGAAGGCTATTGCTTAAACGCATTGTAAGCCGCCCTGAGTCTCCGGAGAAGGGCGGCATTTAAATCAAATTAAAATAAAATAAATAAATAAATAAACTTGCTTCCCTGGCTCTCCGAGTGGTCTCCAGTCCAACCTCGCTCAGCTTTAGCAGCTCCCGGACCATCCGAGACTTAGCTGAAGCAAGGAAGGACGCTTCTGCAAGTGAAACCTTCTCAGGTCGAGCTCATTTGCACGAATAAACCGCTTTAACGTGAGAACCAGCTACCTTTACCGGGCAGCAAACGAACGCTTACACGTCTCTTTCTTCTTCGCGCTTCCCGCGGGGGGGAGCCCCGCCCAGGAGGCGTTGCCAGGCTACCTGCCTCCCCCCCCGCCCCTCTTCGGTTTCCGAAACGCGCCTGCGCGCGGAGGTCTCGCCGGGGCTCTCGCGATGCTTGGCGCGAGCGGGAGTCCCGTTAGCTTCAGCGTCGCGCCTCACGCTAACCGGCCCAAAATGGATGCCGGCGCCGCTGCGGAGCCCGCTTCCACGCCGGCCTCGGCCAGCCCGGGCTTGTCGGGCGGCGAAGAGGAGCCCTCGACCTCGGCCGCCTTCTCGCAGGAGCCCGTCGAGGACGAGGTGGGTCCGTGGTGGTGGTGGGAGAAGCGGCGGGGGAGGTCGTCGCCTGGTCGCCCCTGGCAACCGCGTACCTCCCCGGCCGGCGTTGGATTCAGGCTTCGCCCTGGGCCCTTTCCCTGCCCTTCCCTTCCCTTCCCTTCCCTGGGCCTTTCGGGTCGGCTGACTGGCGAGTGCCGGGCCTCAGGGAGAGAAGCGCGCCGGCAAGTTCGGGGATGGATGGGAGACCACGAGGAGATGCCGCTGTCCGGAGGCCAGGCTGAGGAGAAGAAAAGACCTCTGGCAATATTTGAGGGATGGATTGGTCCCATCGCGTCATTTTCGACCCCTAGTGATTATATCGACGTAATATTTCTGAGGGTGATCTGCCCTTAAACCTGGTCCTTTGCCTCTTCCCCATCAGCACTGTAACTGAAACCGTCCACCTTTTTATTTATTTATTTATTTTTATATGCCGCCCTTCTCCGGAGACTCAGGGCGGCTTACAAGGCGTTAAGCAATAGCCTTCATACTTTTGTATATTTATACAAAGTCAGCTTATTGCCCCCACAAACTGGGTCCTCAATTTACCTACCTTAGAAAGGATGGAAGGCTGAGTCAACCTTGAGCCTGGAGAGATTCGAACCAGCAGAAATTGCAGGCAGCTGTGTTAATAACAGGGTGCTTAGACCACTGTGCTATCAAGGCTCTTGTTTTTTTTTTTTTATTTATTTTTATATGCCGCCCTTCTCCGGAGACTCAGGGCGGCTTACAATGCGTTAAGCAATAGCCTTCATCTTTTTGTATATTTATACAAAGTCAGCTTATTTCCCCCACAAACCAGGTCCTCATTTTACCCACCTTAGAAAGGATGGAAGGCTGAGTCGACCTTGAGCCTGGGGAGAATTGAACTCGCAGTAATTGCAGGCAGCTGGATGTTAAATGCTGCCTTAGTAGGAGGCATTAGCCTCCTACGCCACTCAGGCACCTTGCTACTACCATAGTCCTTACAGGTGGTGGTCCTCGACTTAACCACAGTTCATTTAGTGACCATTCAAAGTTACAACAGCACTGGGAAAAAAAAGTGATTTATGACCATTTTTTCACACTCACCACTTGCGGCAATCCCCTATGGTCATGTGATTAAAAATTCAGACGCAAGGGTGAAATCCAGCAGGTTCTGGAGAACCGGTAGCGGGAATTTTGAGTAGTTCGGAGAGCCGGCAAATGCCATCTCTGGCTGGCCCCAGGAGTGGGGTGGGAATGGAGATTTTGCATTATCGTTCCCCTGGAGTGGGGTGGGAATGGAGATTTTGAAATATCGTTCCCTTGGAGTGGGGTAGGAATGGGGATTTTGTAGTATCCTTCCCCCAGGAGTGGGGTGGGAATGCGGATTTTGCAGTATCCTTCCCCTGGAGCGGGGTAGGAATGGGGATTTTGCAGTATCCTTCCCCTGGAGTGGGGAGGGAATGGGGATTTTGCAGTATCCTTCCCCTGCCACGCCCACCAAGCCATGCCCACCAAGCCACACTCATAGAACCGGTAGTAAAAAAAAATTGATTTCACCACTGTTCAGATGCCTGGCCATTGACTCACATTTATGACAGTTGTAGTGCCCTGGTAACATATGATCCCCTTTTGCGACCTTCTGACAAACAAAGTCAATGGGGAGACCAAATTCACTTTAACAACCGTGCTTCTAACTTAACAACTGCAGCAATTCACTTAACAACTGTGGCAAGAAAGGTCGTAAAATGGGGCAAAACTTACTCAACAAATGTCTCACGTAGCAACAGAAATGTTGGGCTCAATGTTGGTCGTAAATTGAGGACTACCTGTATTTTCTCCATAACGATCTAGCCCTAGGACTTGTACTTATAGGGCTTCCAATGAATTGAATCCATCCCTCTTGCTGCTGGTCCTCCTCTTCCCTTTCCTTCTCCCTCTCCCACTATTAGAGCCTTTGCATAATATGCCTGAAATTTATGGAGAAGGCAGGAGCAACCCCTCCCCCCTTGCATTGCTATTTAAAAAAACCAAAAAACACCCCCAATCTCTGCATTGAGGCACCCCCAAAAATCATGTTTAGGTTTGACTACAGGGAGGCTTTCTTTCGCTGACACCTGCCTGAAGTAGGCTGAACTCTTGAAGCTTTCTAGGTTGATCTGATACAGGGTAGTCCTCGACTTACAACCACAGTTGAGCCCAGTATTTATGTTGCTAAGTGAGAAATGTGTTAAGTGAGTTTTGCCCCATTTTACGACTTTTCTTGCCACATTTATTAAGTGAATCACTGCGCCTGTAAGATTAGTAACATGGTTGTTAAGTGAATCTGGATTCCCCATTGACTTTGCTTGTCAGAAGGTTGCACAAGGGGATCACATGACCCCGGTATACTGCAGCCATCATAAATATGAACCAATTGTCAAGCATAGGAACGTAAATCATGTGACCATGGGGACGCTGCAAAAGTTTTAAGTGTGAAAAAAGGCATACGTCACTTTTTTCAATGCCATTGTAACTTTGAATGTTCACTAAATGAGGACTACCTGTACTTGGTATATTGCTATATGGATAATTGATACTTGGATGGGTTGACAGAAAGAGTGACAACCATTACCAGGTCATGAACAAGGTCTTGTCTATGTGGCCCTCAGAAGAGAGGGAATCTTTGCTTTTAACTCTTCCCCTCCTGTCAGCCCCTGCTTGTGGTTCATCCCTGTCCTCTGATTGTCATGGACCAGCCTTTCCATTATTTCCACTCAGTGATTAGTCTGATGAGGTTGGAATGTGTTGGACTCCAATCCCCATCATCCTTGCTAGCATGTGTATTATGAGAGGCATTATAGTGTAGAGCAGAATTTTCCAAATCACTTTCTGCTCATGCTTTCCTTGTTTTTTTTCCTGTTGCTTCACTATCCTGGTCCCAGAATCCATTGGAGTTGGGCAGCCAATAAATTTAAATAAGTAAATAATCAGATAGGAACATGGGATGATAATTGGTGCATTTTTGGCATCAACAAGATAGTATTTGCAGTATAAATAGCCATTGCTTTTCTGTAGTTCCCTTGGCATCTGCCATGGCCCCCCAGTATATGTTTTTAATTTCTTCCCCCCTTGAAATGTCCTGTCATATGGCCTCTGCTTGAGAACCATCAGCATAGACCAAATGGGTAAGGTAAGAGCAAGGTAAGAGTCAGTTTTGGTCCTTGGTTCCCAAGGCAACAATATTCAATCTTTGAAGCATCACTCCTCTGAAAAATAATTGACTTTTTTGAAGAGGGTGGGTGGTGAAAGAAAGGAAGGCAGTATGTCTCATAATAGCATTCCAAGAACTGGAGCTTTCTCTGAACTACCAGTTGCTGGGAGAACAGTAAGTGGGAAGGTAGCATCCTGGCCTCATCTTTTTGGCCACTGTTGAAAATGGGATGCTTCAGGCACATTCTGTAAGGTTCTTCTTGGTTTTATGATGAAGGGTGGTTATTTATGAGCCATTTGAGGACATAGTGTTCCCTGTCATTTAAATGTTTCATTTGAAGAAGGAAAAAAAGAAGAATTTTGCAGTAGCATCTGAGATTCAGTTTGTCCAGTGAGGTCCAGTGAAAGATCAGATTTGAATTTCTTTGCTCTTAGTTAAAATGCTTATCCCTCCACTGGGGCTGATTCCCTAGACTCATACAGACAAATTCAAATTCAGCTATAGGGTATAGTCTGTACTTCACTGGTTACTGAAGGTGCCAAATGTTGAACAGGCAAAGTTTTTATGTGATCCAGCATGACTTTTCTGATGGGAAAGAGAGGAGGAGACAGAGAGAGCTAGTCAGTTTCACTTATCAGCTTTTGACACAAGCTTGGAAACCAGTTGCTAAGCTACATAGGTTTTAAATGAGTTTTGCAATAAATGCCTGCCTATCTGTTTGTAATTGAAATCCAGCCTGTGTTTTTCTTTTTTGGTTCAGTGTAAGAAGTCGGCTAATTCAGTAAAATCTATTTCAGTTAAGCATGGGTTCAGATACTGTTTGAACAAATCTAGTGTATAATCTGGCAGCAAACCTATTCCATTTGTAGGAATTTCCAGCCTTTGTTGTTTATTACACTGAACTGGAATAGGCTGATGAAAAGTATGTGTAGCTATCTATTTTTCCCTGTATCCCCTTGGCCTTAATCTATGTATATTTCCCTGTATCCCCTTGGCCTTAATCTATGTATATTGGGTATACATTAATTAATCTGCTCATGTATTTACTAGTGTTATAAACAAACCAGTCAGTTTATACATAAATATTCTAGGGAAGTGGACATGTTTGTCTGTTGTAACAAAATCAGTGATTTGTGAACCAAGAGTCGAAACTTTTACAGTACACTGTATGCCTGTTTATTCAGAAATAAGCCACTCTGTGTTAAGTAGCATTGGGGAAAATAAGATTATGTAGCTTTATTGTTATATATTTGTATACTCTAAGCATGAAGTATTCTCAGGTGATAGATTATTTCTCTAACTTGTTTAAAAATGAGATTTACAATCCTTGAAATGTCAAAACAGCTTAAATGCATTGTGAACTGTAAATCTATCAACAAATTCTTTATATTTTATTAATAAGCTAAATAAATTACTGGCCATTTATGATGGCTTTGTTTAATACACAATAATGTTCAAATTGGTAATACAGTACTTTTATGGTAGACACACCAAACAAAGTAGATTCATTTGGGAGTGTGCAAATGATATAGTATACATATATAGGTTTAGTCGATCAAAATCTCTTTAATCTCTTTAATTCTTTTTCTACAGGATGCATATCAATATACTGTTTGGTATAACTTTCCTATGTACTTTGGTTATTTGCTTTACCTGATAGTAAAAAAAAAATCCTGTTCTATTTCCATTAATGTTCATCTTTGAAACTCTGCATATGATAATACTTCATATAGCTGATAAAATGAATTGTACAGAAAAGTGTGCAGGTGTTTATTGTTTCTCAAGAGTCTTTATGGTTTATGCCAAGGAAGATTCAAGATAGATACTGAAGTGGAACCTGCCTGAACCTCAGTCTTTCTAGGGGCTTGTGAAAAACTGTCGTGAAGGTGGTATATGTACAGTTTTAAATTATAATTACTCTAATAAGAATGTAAGAAAAGCCATGCTGTATCAGACAAAAAGACCTCTTATTCTGTTCCTACGTTGATCAAACAGCTGCCTCTGTGGAGCTCAAGCTCCCAAACAGAAGTATGATATTCATCGTTAATTGGTTCCGGGAGGCACGATGAGTATCAAAAACAATGAGTACTAAACAAATTTTTCCCACAAAGAATAATATAATGAGTCACAAGGCAACTGACACTGACAAATTCTAGCTTGTGCCTAGACAAAATGTTTGTGTCAAAATGCACCGAGTACCAAATTTGATGAGTTTCATAGCAGTTGAGTGTCAAGCTACTACTGTATGCAGCTCCTCTTGCTGATATTCCTAAGCATTTTGTACAATATTGATCTATCCTCTAATACTAAAGGTTGTATTCTTCTTCTTGATCTAGCCATTATATCTAGTAATTAATCACTTTCTCCCCATAAATTTGTTTAATTCTCTTTGAAAGGCATATAAGGATGCCTACAATGACATCTGCTTGTAACTTTCATAAGTTAACTGGGTAAAGATAAACTGGGTAACTGGGTAAAAAAGCTTTTTTTTCTATTATCATTGTATCATTGATACGTTCCCAGTCCTGTAGTTTGTGAAAGAGAATTATTATCTTATAATATCTATATTGTAATTTATATTGCTTATAGGGTACAGCAACAAAGTAGGATTGCAAGATTCGAAGATTTTTTAAAGATAGTCTTGCTTATCCCCAGATGCATGTTGTGAAGGATTTTTATAGATATACAAGCTTTAGTAATTGTAAGCTTCTATCACAGTGAGTTTATATTCCCAAACAACAATCAAGGGTAATTTGGTAGACATATAAAAATAGTATAGTGTTGCCAATGAAGATAAAACACATTATTTAAGATTATGGAAAGTACCCTAAAGTATAGAGGACATGCCAGTGTTAATTATAATTTCTCTATTCTAGTGTCCCAAAGGTGCTTTTTCAAGAGGCAACTGGACTTTCTGGTTTTTCTTTGAAGATGTTTCGCTTTTCACCCAAGAAGTTTCTACTGCTCTATTCCAGTGGTTCTCAACCTGTGGTCCATGGACCCTGGGTGGGGGGGGGGGTGGGGGGCGTGATGTTGTCACAGGGGGCCCTCAAAGGTTTGAAGAAATGTTATGATTTAAATTTTGAGTTGAGTCTTGGGGATCCATGGCCACAAAAGGCATTTAAAAGGGGTCCATGGTGAAGAAAAGGTTGAGAACCACGACTCTATTCCATTTTAACATGTTTTAATCTGTATTATGCTGGGAAAACAGCCTGTCTTTTTTCTTTATTAAATATATTGTGATTGAAGAATTTTCATTTTATTTGCAGAAAAATGATCCTCCATTTCAACTCAAACTTCCTCCAAAGGCAACTAAATCTGAAAAAGAAATTGATCCGGAATATGAAGAGAAGATGGTAAATTTGTTACTTGGATTTTTTGCCTGTGGTGTCTTTTGTTAAATTTAATTGTGCTGATAAGAAGTCCCTGTATCTACCTTTAAAACGATCTAACTGATTGTTCCATTCAATGATAATTGAGCTAAAAAAAAAATGGTCATGCCTCTTCCTGTGATATTATCCCCTTAACAGGTGACTTCTTCCTTCCCTCCCTCCAGAAGGTTGGGAGGCTGAATTGTACCCTTTGTTCCTCAGATGTTGCCTAGTCCTACTCTGGATGTACCTGCTTGCTGTGTACACTCAAGACCCTTTAGCTTCAGGCCTCACTGTGCTTGTCAGGGAGATCTCCCAGTGTGGTCATTTATACAAGCTGAGGAGGACAAAGGGCATTAAGCTGCCTTGGTGGAAATCAGGTTGTTATTGTCTTTGATGAGTTAGAAGTCTTTTTTTTTTTTTTAAAGAGTCCATTTGTTTCCCAGCTTGAAAAAGTTAACTGTAAATTGATTTACAACTTGATATCTCTCCTTGCCTCCAACAGCCAGTTACTGTTAGTCTTGCAACACATAATTACAGGTTTGATTTTAAACTTTCGGTGCCAAAGGCTAATGTTTTAGAATCCAGGCGGCATTTCCTGAGCGAGTTTGTCATTTGGTTCTGCAATGATTTTTCTCTACAGCTTAAGAATAAAATCTTTTTCTCGATGAGTAGCTTGGGAAAAACAGTTTAGTGTATTGTGTCTCGAGGTAGCAGAAAGTATTATGGCCCTTTTTTTTTTTGGTACAGTACAACCATAGAATAAAAGCAATAATAATGTAGTGCAGCCAGTCATAAAATCTCAATATAAAACATGGAGCCTGTAGGCTAAAAGGCACATAAGATATAATAACAGCATCACTTTAATAAGTTAAAAAAACCCAGGTTCGCAAGGGCACATCCCCCATTGATACATTAGTGATTTATAAATAAATTTGGCATGACATGTTAGAAAAGCTGCACCTCTGAACTGTTTCTTCTAAATATCTATTAGAGGTAGAGTATCTTCCATTGCTTTCCTATTATCTTCCTTTATATAGCACTGGGTTCATAAATTTATATGAACTATATTTTGGAATAAGATACAATATTCAAAGGTAATAAAACAATCACACAATACAGAATAGCATTACTACAGTATGTGAATCCATTCAGTTCCTGGGTTGTTTTGTGCTATTTTTTCTGCTAATTGAAATAAGAGCACAAAAGTAATCAGATCTCAGAATTTTGCATTCAGATTTAAGATCATAATCTGAACTTTTATTCATTTTATTGTATTACCGGGGTGTGTTGTTCCTATTTATTATCACGGTATTATTTTATTAGTAGTACATTGCCTAAGACTTTAGGGCTGAAATAATAGAAAATCCCATAAGTAAATAGTTCTGCATAATGCACAGCCATAATGTGGTTTGTTTTTCCCTACCCTGATGATGAATCCACCCTTTATCTAGGAAACCTATATGGCCATCCATCTTATATATCATAGCTCTGGCTCATAAAAAAAAAGTTTTACTACAATAGTCGTTCCTGACTATAGGGGGCAGTGCTCGTCTCTGTTTCAAGGCCATTGAGCCAGCGCTGTCCGAAGACATTTCCGTAGTCATGTTGCCAGCATGATGTCACAGAACACTGTTACCTTCCCCCAAATTGGTACTTATCTATCTACTTGCATGCTTGCATGCTTTCAAACTGCTAGGTTGTGAGGAGCTAAAGGGAAGGACAGAAGCTCACCCCGTCGCATGGCACCGGGTCTCGAACTTGGGCTGCCAGCTTTCCAGCTGGCTCATAGTAACAATAAAAATTATAAAACCCCCAAGATCCAAAAGTCCAGCACCTGGTGCCCGAAAGCGGTACTCCTCACTGATAATAACAATCGCCATGCTTCAGCCTCATCTGACTCCAGTACTTGGAGAACATGAAAACTTCAGCTGCCATATTTTGCGTAGGGCAAAATTCATAAACTTATATCAGAAGTACATGGGATGGATAAAATAGCTGAACCTGCTGTCTAGTTGCTTTATGCTGAACAGCTTCAAACTACATTTCTGTGTGTTTTTTCTTGAACCTCAGTGGTTTTATATTTGAAATTTATTTGAGATTAATGGCTGTTCCTAATTGCTGGAATGTTACTTGGTAAAGAGCAGAAGAAAATCAAAAAAGTTTTCAAATAAAAATGGAAGTAAAGGCAAATATACATGTTCCAGGATAATGTTGCAAGATCCAATCTGGGTTGGTCCCTGGGTCCCATTGAATTCAATGTGTTTTATAAATACAAAGGACTAAGATTGGATTATATTTGCTGGACCTTACAGATTATTTTATGTTTGGAAGTTACTGCAATTAGCTTTGAAAATCCTTGATTCTCCTATAGTTTTTGAAAAGGAGAAAAGTATAACAAGTAAATAAATTTCAATGTAACAAGTAAATAAGAAGAGACTGGACAGTCACTTGTTTGAGATGGTATAGGTTGTCCTGCTTGAACAGGGGGCTGGACTAGAAGACCTCCAAGGTTACTTCCAGCTCTATTCTATTCAAATAGTGAATAATCAGATATTTTTGAACATTTTGAACCTAACAGGCTGAATATAAAGTTTAGAAGAATAAACAAATTATGTATATGTAAAATGGTGTTTTTTTCCTATGGGATTTATCAAAAAGTTGTGGATTATGTTGCCCTCATGTGGTAAAATTGTATATTGCCTCTAGTATTTATTTCATAGTTCTATATTGTTCAACCACATAAGCAGTGTTTCTGAAATATTGGTTTAGATCCAGACTAATATTTGAAATTAAAATAATAAATTATCATGATTAAATGATAATTAAATAAATTCTGTTGTTTAGAATTTGGATCAATGTAAATTTTACTGAAAATGGATGCTGAATTGTTGAATTTTCCCCAGGTAAGAGTAAGAATGTATATGTATGATTATTGATTTAGTCTGGATCCAGACTTAATATTTTGCTGAAAATATCAGAGCTGTGTTTTAAACTTGGAAATCTCATATTCATTAAATCTGGATGATACAGGATACAATCTGTGTAACACTCATCTTATATTGAATAATATAGATGTCTTTATTCTGTGCTGCTTTAAGTTCTTTTACAAAGTTATGGTTCTGATTTATTGTTCTGGAACTTCACCATGTTGGAAGTGTTTTGCTAGACAATACTCCACAATTCTTGCATAAAATGTTCTAGTGAGGCAAGGAGGAGACATTAGTATTCAGTATTCAGATTGTCCTGAAATCAGAATATCCTTGCAATCTGATCATAGTTCAGGATATTTGCAGAGTTCCAGAGCTGTCCTCTTTCCATAGCCCTTGGAATTGCTGAACAGGTTCCTCGTTCACATTGTCAGGAATCAATATTAACGTAGTTATTCCATTCAGTGTGATGCCCAGGTTGTCCTAATCAGAGGATGTCATTCAGTCAAAATTTAATCCGTGCCTGTTTCAGCAATCTTTGTCATGAAAAAAAGGTGCATTAGAGCCTCGGTACCTTCCAGGGATCTTGGATTAAACTCACATCACCGTCATCATGCATGGCTACTAGCTATTCTTCCTTTGTAGAAATTGAAGTTAAATATATCCAGGTTGATTTCAGGTTGGCAAAAGTTATAAATAAAAATGCTTATAGCCTACTTGTGAGCTGGGTGGAGATTCCAGTCTTAGTTATCTTTTTGATATCATTGTCTATATTTTAGACTCTTCCTTCCTGACAAATAACAGTTGGGCTAGAAGGAGCAATCAAGGCGCTTACTGTCTGACTGCATATTTTTCTTAATCTCTATATTGAACTGGACTCCTAAGTCTCTTACTGAACTCATTCTTAATTCTTCAGAGGTTTGCAGTGAAGAAGTTTGGAAGAGAGTTTGTAATTTTAATTGGGAAGAGTCAAACATCCTCCCCCCCCCATCCCCACCCCAATGTATGAGTTCAGGGTTGCTTTCTTAAATCACACCTTATCTTATTTTGCTTTTCTTGTGTGGGCTGTAGAAAACCGACCGAGCCAAGCGATTTGAATTCCTGCTAAAGCAGACCGAACTTTTTGCCCACTTTATTCAACCTGCAGCCCAGAAGTCACCAACCTCTCCCCTCAAAGTGAAACTGGGACGACCACGGGTAAAGAAGGACGAAAAGCAGAGCTTGCTTTCGGCAGGAGAGTATGCATTGTTTTTAAACTATTTTTGAAGTTATGTTGAAATTATATTTGCATCTTAAAACATATTGTATGTAGGTAGAGCGTGTCAAATTTTTCAGCTTTCAATTTCCAAACATTAGTAGGGATGCTCAAAAGCTCATGCCTTGTGGATTGTAAAGATATTTTGGTCACTTTAATGTAATTTACATGTGCTTGGTAAGTAACTACATAAATATCAGAACTTTTTAACATTTTATTTGTTTCATACAGGAAGTCCTTGACTTACAAACACAATTGAGCCCAACATCTCTGTTGCTAAGTGAGACAGTCGTTAAGTGAATTTTGCCCCATTTTACTACCTTTCTTGCCACAGTGCTTAGTGAATCACTGCAGTTGTTAAGATAGCAATAAGGTTGTTAAGTGAATATTTGCTGGTCAGAAGGTCGCAAAAGATGGAACACTGCAACCATCATTAATATGAGCCAGTTGCCAAGTGTCTGAATTTTGATCAGGTGACCATGGGGCTGCTGCAATGGTCATAAGTGTGCAAACTGGTCATGTCACATTTTTCAGTGTAACTAACTTTGAATGATCCCTAAACAAAGTGCTGTAAGTCGAAGACTATCTGTATGAATGAGAAGAACTGACCTCAGTCTCAAGAGATGTTTGCATCCAGCTCAGCCTTGTATTTCAGGTGAAGTTGGAAGGTTAATAACAAGGGTGGCATGGGACATGGGTGACATGAAGATGGAATGGAATGGAATGGAACAGAATGGAATGGAATGGAACGGGACGGGACAGGACAGGACAGGACAGGACGGAATAGGCATCGGCATAAGAAAAGATCAGAACACTTTATTTGGGGAATTTGTCCCCAAAGCAGAAGCACATGTGTTGGGTTTTCTTTTTTTAGCTATCGCCACAGGAGGACAGAACAAGAGGAAGACGAGGAGCTGCTTTCGGAAAGCCGGAAAACCTCAAATGTGTGCATCCGATTTGAGGAATCTCCTTCTTGTGAGTGTACCAATTAGTCATCTCTGCTTTCATAGATACATCAACTAAATTACAGAATAACAAAGGGACGCTTTATGTTTCTGCAGATGTTAAAGGAGGAACATTGCGGGACTATCAAGTTAGGGGGTTGAACTGGATGATCTCCTTGTATGAAAATGGCGTAAATGGCATCTTGGCAGATGAAATGGTAAAGAAACTCACCTTTGTGGATGTGGTTTGAGATATGGGGGAAAAAACCCAAGAGCTGTAAGTTTGTTAGTTTTCCTGTCAAGACTCCAAGCTCTTAAAAAGATTTAATAAAATAGCAATTTTGGCTATCATGCACTTTTTCATATCCCGGTGTGGGAGGAGACACATTTCTTTATGAGTTGTCTAGGACCCTCTTTTATGACTAACACATTTTATTAAAAGGTATTTGCGAGCTGCAACTCACTTTATCAGATGCATAGAGTGACTAGACCCTAAATTTAAATCCTACATCGACCTACCCAATCTACATATCTTATAACAAAACATGTTTAGCCAGAAAAGTTACCACAAACTCCTTCTAATTTCATACCCCATTGTAATGGGTCTGGCATTTATTAGCTCATGGGTTGTTGACAATCTGAGTCCAGTTTTCCACATTCTTTTCATGATTTCCAACAAACCATATATAGCAAGACAGGCAAAATGTAATTTTTTTGTGGTTCAAGCAGGATGAGGGTCTTTTTATGTTTTTTGTGCCCTTTTCTATCATATTTTGTAGGTCCCATTCCCTCCCTCTCTCTCTCTCTCTCTCTCTCTTTTTTTAAAAAACCCAGATAGTGGGAGTTTTGGGCGATCGTGACTATAGCATTATATTTTAATGCAACGTATCATTTTTTGCATGCAAAAATTTAACCAAGCAGCAGATATCCCAAGGAGTCATGAATATAAAGCGAAGGAAGGAATACATAATGCATAACAATAATACGAACTACAACTAAAATATTCAGTTGCAGCGTGGCTCAGAGTGAATTGTAATTAAACATTTCATTCTGCGTAATATTTCTTATGAATTACAGAGGATCGTTCTCAAGAAGTTATTTTATTGTCTGGAAACAAATGCTAATCAGAATAGTAATTTGTATATCGCAATATATTGAAATTATGGCTGATTTAGACTCCATAGATCATACTATGATCATAAGCTTCCTTTATGCATGATTATGGATGGAGATTATTTCAGAACTCTTAAAAAGAGATGCGTAACATTTAAATACTGTTTTTAAAACTGTTGTAGGGTCTAGGAAAGACATTACAGACAATTGCGTTGCTGGGCTATCTGAAGCATTATCGAAACATTCCCGGTCCACATATGGTTCTGGTGCCCAAATCAACTTTGCATAACTGGATGAATGAATTTAAACGTTGGGTTCCATCATTACGAGCAGTTTGCCTTATTGGAGACAAGGATGCCAGAGTAAGTGTCACTCTTAGTCAGTCAGTCAGTTGGAGATTTACTCTGTAAGTCAGAATGTAATGTTCCCAGAATTCTTTATTTGCAACTTCTGCAATTTCGAGACAATATGTGGACTTCGATTCCCAGAATTCTCTAGCCAGCATGCTGGCTGGGGAATTCTGGGAGTTGAAGTCCATATGTCTTAATGTTGCCAAGGTAGAGAAACTTTGTTTCAGAGTATAAAATGATTCATTGATTATTGTAAAAGTATTGCAGTTTAAACTTTTAAAAAAGACTTTTTATGAATAGCATTAAAGCAGAGGTGAAAAGTAAAGTCCCAATGTTGTGTCTCTAAGAGCTGAGGTGGTGCAGTGGTTAGAGTGCTAGCTGCAGTTCAGTTCAAATCTCACCAGGCTCAAGGTTGACTCAGCCTTCCATCCTTCCTAGGTGGGTAAAATGAAAGCACTATGAAGCAGTATATAAGTCTAAGTGCTATTGCTATTGGTCTCTGAAATCTTTGGTATAACACCTGGGAGTTGCAGACATTAAAACCAGCATATAATTTTTAATATGTATGGCTTGATAGTAATGCTCACTATACTCAGCTTTATTTAGGTGTAAATTACATATTTTGTATTGGATTCATCCAGTGTTTTGAGTACAGGCATGCTTTTGAAAGGTTAAGTTTACTGTTTGCTAGGAAGATACTGTTTCTCCTGTTTTAAGAGGAAAAAACTTTGTTTTAACATCACTGCTAGTATCCTTTGAAGAACAGACATCCTCCTTTCCCCTATGCAGGAAGTTATGCACTTTTCATATTATTTAATAGCTCTTTACTAATGTAAATGATCTAAATGTGTTAATTCTAAAGTTCATATTTCTGTTTCTTCTTCCTGCCCGTTTTCTCTGAAATGGCATTGCTAAATGGCCATTGTTTCAACACTGTAAGCTGCCTCTATTGGAGAGTTTGTTTTATGTCTATTTTTCATACAGGCTGCTTTTATCCGTGATGTTATGATGCCTGGAGAGTGGGATGTGTGTGTGACCTCCTACGAAATGGTCATTAAAGAAAAGTCGGTTTTCAAAAAATTTAACTGGAGGTATCTGGTGATCGATGAAGCTCATCGGATAAAAAATGAAAAATCCAAGGTAAGTTTTAATTTTATTTGGTAAGCACTGAGGAACAATACCTGGAGGGAAGGTAAGTTTTTTGAACAAAACGAAAAATTTTTGATATATAAAACTTTCAGCTTGCTTGGACTGGTTGAGCAATCCAATCAATGAAGTGATATCTAAGAAGGAATAGAAGATGAATGGAACAGCATCTTTACAATTTCAGGACCTTGGAGAGTTCATAGAAGAAACTTCACAAGTTGGGTTACCTTTTGGTAAAGATTTTTTGCCCCAGCACCAGTCTGTGTTCAGTTGTGACTTTCACAGATTTTGAACAACTGGGTGGCCCTTTTGATCTACCCCTGCTTCCTGTTGACTGTGAACCATGATGCCATGAACTTTCCTGAGACTGCAGCCTTGTGCATAAAGTAGCAAAAACTCCGGAAGAGTCATCCTTGACAATGGAAAACTTATCTATTCAGTTTGAAAAGGCTCAATATGTCTTCTTTTGAGTTAGAATGATCTGGAGTTCATCCTAGTTGGATGAACACTTTTGAAAGTCTTTCTGGCCTTTTGATGTGGGGTATGTGACATTGTTTTATTAAGTTCTTTCTAGCACACAAAATACGTTTTAGAGTAAGATTTCACCCAATGTATTCAATTTGTCTGTAAGAGAATTTTAAGAAATCATAATAGACCAGAGCTTTCGTTTTCCAAATCTCAGAGTTAGTATTAATAAAAATGTATTTTTGTAATATATTGGCAATAAAATCTCTTCATGTTTTTTTGTTAGTTATCAGAAATTGTCCGTGAATTCAAGACAACAAATCGCTTGCTCTTAACAGGAACCCCTTTACAGAATAATCTTCATGAACTGTGGGCATTGCTCAATTTCCTTTTACCAGATGTCTTTAATTCTGCAGAGGTGAGACTGGGATTGACATTGAAGTCTTTCAATTGCATAAATTACATGTTTTATAGCAAACTAATTTTTAACGTTATATCACCGCAATTGCTTTTACATTTTACTACTATGGCTTGCATTTACATATAGCAAAATATGCTTGTACCCTAACTTTACAATTGTTTAGGTTCCTCCCTTTTTCCAACTGCTATTGGTGATGTATATTTGTGGCACAACCATGATTTCAGAGCAAAGAGTATGTTTTACATAGTATAGGATGGAAGAATTCAACATGGATATATTGATTTCCAAGCCAAATGGATGTTTCTTTCTTCGTGTCCTATAATTTCTACTTGAGCTAACCTAAGCACTGGGAAAATATGAAATTACAAACATAATAGTAAAATGAATTTTTTACATCTGCAGGACTTTGACTCGTGGTTTGATACTAAAAATTGTCTTGGTGATCAAAAACTTGTGGAAAGACTTCATGCGGTAAGTATGGTGGTATGTCTTGATAGAAGTTTATTGGCCTAGCTTCCATGCATCCCAGACTCTGCAGTGCATGGTTGAGACGGTGTGTGACTTTCAGTGCAATCATTATGGTGTTTGAATATAAACTCCTTTTCCAAGGCTCATCTCACTTCTCTTTTGGTGAAGATTTTTTTAGAAAGGACTTCAGTTGATAAATGTGCATACATTTCTAATTTATTGCTTTTTTTTATTGATGTGTGATGTGCCACTCTCCTGCTTTGTATATGTTTGGGAGGATTTTTTAAATTGGTAAATATTTATTACAAAAGGCATGGGCCATATGACTTGCTTATAGTTTTTCAGAAATGCACGTTTTAAAACAAATAACATTCAAATCTATATATGTCTGTATGAGAAGTGTAAAATAAGAGTTAGGTAGAGCAGCGTTTTTAAACCTTTTCACAGACTGTACCACTTTTAGGATATGGCAATATTCGAGTACCACCAGTTGTCTAACAAGGTGTCAAATCCTTGATGACCAAAAAAAAAAAGGAAAAAAGTGATAAAGTACAGGTAGTCATCAACTTATAACAGTTTGCTTAGTGACTGTTCGAAGTTACAACCGCACTGAAAAAAGTGACTTATGACCATTTTTCACACTTATGACCATTGCAGCATCCCCAGTGTCATGTGATTTATATTCGGATGTTTGGCAACTGATTCATATTTATGATAGCAATAGCATTTAGACTTATGTACTGCTTCACAGTGCTTTACGGCCCTCTCTAAGCGGTTTACAGTGTCAGCATATTTCCCACAACAATCTGGGTCCTCATTTTACTGACCTTGGAAGGATGGAAGGCAGTATTTCAGAATCATGTGATCCCCTTTTTCAACCTTCTGACAAGCAAAGTCAATGGGGGAAACCAGATTCCCTTAACAACCGTGTTACTAATTTAACAACTGCAGTGATTCACTTAACAAATGGCAAGAAAAGTCATAAAATGGGACAAACTCATTTAATAAATTTCTCACTTAGCAACATAAATTTTGGGCTCAATTGTCGTATGTTGAGGACTATCTATACACCCCCTTATCACACTTTTAATGGGAAACTTGTGCTTGTTTCTCTGACATTAATCTTTGCACTGTTCTATCCCCTTCTCTTCCTCTGCTTGTCTCAAAGAAGCCTCTCCTCTTCTCCGTCTCACTTTCCCCATCCCCATCTCTTTCCTTGACTTTTTTCTCTTTCTCTTTCCTGCCGTAACCACCTCCTTTTATATCCTCTCTTCTCTCCCCCTCCTCCTTTTCTCTTCTGATGCAGCTCCAGCTCACTCCCCAAGTCTGTGTGCTGCTCCCGGAAGTGCCGATCAGCTGGAGCTGCGTGCGCTGATCCTGGGCGCTCAGCAGAGCCCCAGCAACACCACAGCTCCAGCTGACTCTCCCACAGATCTGTGTGGTACTGCCGCTGCTTCAGTTCATCCCTCCCGCTACACTTCAACACTTTTTTTAACACTTTTTTTTTCCAGTGCTTTTCAACCCGGGGTACCCATACCACTTGCCAGGTATGCATACCACGGGTTGAAAAGCATTGATCTAGAATAATAGCAGTAGCACTTAAGACTTATATACCACTTCACAGTGCTTTACAGCCCTCTGTAAGAGGTTTACAGAGTCAGCATATTTCTCCCAACAATCTGGGTCCTCATTTTACCCGCCTCGGAAGGATAGGATGGAAGGCTGAGTCACCCTTGAGCTAGTGATAATCGAACTGCTGGCAGCTGGCAGTCAGCCGAAGTAGCCTGCAGTACTGCATTCTAACCACTGCACCACCAGAGCTCATAATGTAGCATTGTAGCATCTATAGAATTTATTGGTTTGTGTCTTCCCAGCATGGCTTTTGGAGAAATATATTTCCTTTTTTAAAAGTGAAGCATTCCATTTCCTCAATTAAAAATGAAAGGAGTTTACACAATTCCCATAATATCGGTAAAGCTGGGGATTACGGGCAATGTAGTATGGTATTTAAGGTAGATGGCAGAAGCTTCGTAGTAGTTCTTGATACAGCCAGTTGTTTTAATAACTGTTCAGAGTTAGCAACAGACTTAAATCTACTTACAAACTTGCCCTTGAAGTTATGACTGCTGCCCTACACCCCATGGTCACATGATTGCATTTTGGCAACTGGCTCACATTTACGACTGGTTGCAACATCCCACGGTTATTTGACCACAATTTGTGATATTCTTCCCCGTTTCCAGCAAATATGCCCATTCCAGAGAATGGATTCACTTAATGATCATTGGATTTGCTTAATAACTGAAGTGTTTTTCTTTACAACCAGTGTAAAAATAGTCATAAAATTGAGTCACATAGCGCCTTGACCTATGACCACAGCAAATTACAATGACAATTCCAGTCCCAGTTGTCATACGTTGAGGACTACCTGTACAGGGAGAAATGTCTGAAAAATCTGGGATGTCACTAAAATGTTCCCTATGTTTCTCTTGTTTTGTTCCCCCCCCCCCCCCCCCAGGTTTTGAAGCCATTTCTGCTACGGCGCATAAAAGCTGAAGTGGAAAAAAGCTTGCCTCCTAAAAAAGAAGTAAAAATTTATCTGGGACTCAGCAAAATGCAGAGAGAATGGTAATTTTTAAAAATCTTATACCAAGAGAATGATACACTGATTATGTGATGAAAGCAAGGTGGACTTTATTAAAACAACAGGCAGTTGTATATATTAATGTCCCTGAAGCTCTTTTAAGCGGTCCTTAATATTTCTTCTATATTTTTCTAGGTGTATGATTGGATTGGATAAATTTTAAGTAAGCTATTTTAGCTTAAGCTATAGTTCTTTTCTCCACTTCCCACTTTAGTCTGGGATAATAATGCAGTATTAATCTACATTACAAGACTTCTGTCCTACACCAAACATTTGACATTTGCTAAATAAATGCTGAAATTCAAGTTATTATCATTAGATTAGTATTCCCCAACAAGATTCATTGGCTCTTTTTTCCTCTAGAATTCTGAGACTTGTAATACCAATAGGTTGGGAATGGAGGAGAATAGATTTTATTTTTAAAAAAGAAGTTTTACTATTGTTGCTTGGTGTTCAGAGAAACAAAAGGCAAGAATTTGACTTGAGAAAGGGGAGAACCAAAGTTTTAATCTTAATATACCTGATTGCCTGCCTTTAATGTGTTTATTTCTTAAGGCTGATACAAACCTGAATGTAACACATTCAGAATCAAGAACCGCCATTTCCTTCATTCATGAGCAGCAGACAAATGATCTGGTCAAATGGGAAGCAGCTGATTTTGAGGCTCCCTACACAGCTGCAAAACTGGGAGAAGTTCCCTTTCTCCTATTTTTAAACTGCTTATGGGGATGAAAATGTACGTGGCCATTTTGGGATTGATAACATAGGGAATTGTGAGAGCCTCACCCACCCCGTTTAATTCCAGGATTCTCTTCTTGGTAGCCAACAGTTCCTAGAGCATTGGTGACAATTTTTATGTTGGTAGCAAGAAGAAATGGGGCAGGATGGCTTAGCGGTTAAAGACACTGAGCTTGTCAGCTAGAAAGCTGACAGCCCAGGTTCAAGACCCGAGCACTGCTTGACGGGGTGAGCACCCATTCCTGCTCCAGCTCCTGCCCACCTAGCAGTTTGAAAACATGTAAACATGAGTAGATTATTAGGTACCACCTCAATGGGAACGTAACAGCGTTCTGTGCACCTCTGGCAAATAGCCATGCTGGCCACATGACCATGGAAAATGTCTTTAGACAACTTTGGCTCCGTTGGCCAAGAAACTGAGATGAGTATTTTACCCTAGAGTCAGACATGACTGGACAGGGAAACCTTTACCTTTAGCAGGAAGAAAGGAATTTAAATCTTCACTCTCTTGCTTGTAAAGTTAGTTTAGGCTCAATCAATCCTGAGGTTGTTTGGGGCTATAACTAGCCTTTTTAATCCCCACCAGTTACTGAATTACACCGTTTCTGTGATACCCTAATTTCCCCTTGAGCTCAATTTTATATATATATGTATACTGTATATGTATCTTTTCTTTTCCAATATCCATGGCTGTTACCCTGCAGCAAATATCAAATTTGATGAGCTTGCAGAAACAGTGTAGAGTTCTCAGGTTTGAAAAACTCTTATAGAGTGTGAAAATAAAGCAAAGAAGCTTAATGCTGTACAGTAAGTCATGTACAAATGGCCAAACACGGATATAGATGACTGAGACTCTTTCCTCCTTTATACATTCAAACATTAATGTGCTGTTCCTTTATTATTAAATTATCCAATTAACCTTACAGGTATACCAAGATCCTGATGAAAGATATTGATATCTTAAATTCAGCGGGCAAAATGGACAAGATGCGGTTGTTGAACATCCTGATGCAGCTGAGGAAATGTTGTAATCACCCGTACCTGTTTGATGGTGCTGAACCAGGCCCTCCTTACACCACTGATACTCATTTAGTGACCAATAGTGGCAAAATGGTTGCCCTGGACAAATTACTATCAAAACTCAAAGAACAGGGTAAGACAGACTATCTCCTTCCCCTTCCTCCCAGTTTTGGGCTAGTGGGACCCCTTGTGGGATTTTTTTGTTGTGGTATTCTGTGGGGTTTTTCCCCCCACGACTTCTATCCTGCACAATTTCTGTATTATCTTATTTTTAATTGTCTTATATTACACATTGCCAGTATATAGGGTTTTGGTCCATTGGTTAAGACACCAGGCTAGAAAGTAAGAGACCCTGAGTTCAAGTCCCACATTAGCCATGAAAGCCAGCTGGGTGACTTTGGTCCAGGCACACTTTCTCTCTCAGCCCAACCCACCTCTCAGGGTGGTTGTGGGGAAAAGAAGAGGAGGAAGGTGTGTTGGATATATTTGCTGCCTTATTTGTAAAAATAATAAAGGCGGGATAGAGATGAATGAATGAATGAATGAGTGAGTGGAATAAAAAACATTGCCCAGTTGCGATGCAGCTGAGTAACTGCAAATTTAATACATAAATAAATGATCAATTCCAGATTCATCATGCAGTTGATGAAGATCCACCAAAGTTAGCCATTATTCCTTGGTCCTATTGATATCAGTAAACGCTCATTCCCGGACATAACTATTTAATGTAGATGCTTCTCATTATCATTAACTCAAAGGTAGTTAAAAGTGCTTCAACCACTCCTTTGTCCCTCAGGTTCCAGAGTTCTTGTTTTTAGCCAAATGACTCGCTTATTGGATATATTGGAAGACTACTGCATGTGGCGAGGTTATGAATATTGTCGCCTGGATGGGCAAACACCGCACGAGGAGAGAGAGGTGGGAATAATTTGTCTAGTCTCTTGAACGTTTATTTTGTTCTATCCTGGACACAGGCTGTGTACCAACTAACATTTTTTCACTATTTTCCTGAGTGCCAATTTGCTGTGACAGCGGTTTTATCTTCTGTCAGGCCTTATAAACAGAGATTAATTTTCCATGATTGCACGCTATGTCATTCAACTTTCTGATTTGAGTTTCAACTACAGATAGGCCTTGATTTACGACCATCATTGGAACTGGAACTTCCATCACCAAGCGATGCGGTCATTAAGGGCATTCTACCTGGTTTTATTATCTTTTTTGTTGTGGTTATTAACTGAATCCCACAAAGTTGTTAAGTGACTCCAGCTTCACCTATTGACTTTACTTTTTGGAAACCCTCTGGGAAAGTTGAAAATGGCAATCACGTGACCCTGGCACGCTGCAATCATTGTAGATACATAACGTAGATGTATGTAGATACATAATCTTGTGCAAGTTTGTAAGTGCAGGGCCAGGTCGTACATCATTTTTTCAGTACCGTCGTAACTTTGCCTGGTTGTTTAAATGAATGGTCGCAAGTCAAGGACTACCTGTATCACTTTAAGGGAAAATAAGTGAAAGGCGCATTTACAAAGAATGCCAGTGAGAATCACCTGTGCTGCTTGAAGTTCTCTGTAATTCACAGGCTGGGGATCTAGTTTGCTTGTAGAACTGCTTGGAGACGTGAAGGAAAGAGATTTGATTCCCTGTGTTTCTATCATGGCCAAAATTCTCCTTGTAACTATTTTAGAAACCAGGCAAAACAACAACAGGAAACGGTATTTTTACAGTCTCTTTAAAAAAAATATATCTTTTTTTTTTTTTTTAGGAAGCAATAGATACCTTTAATGCTCCAAACAGCAGGAAATTCGTTTTTATGTTGAGTACAAGAGCCGGAGGCTTGGGGATTAATTTAGCAACAGCTGATGTTGTGATCCTCTATGATTCAGACTGGAACCCACAAGTTGATCTACAAGCGATGGTAAGTGGAGATCTTCAAGGTTTATTTCTGGGGCAGCTGTACTCTTTCATATAAGCTAACTGAAAACGAACACACATGTAAACGCTACATTTGAAGGGTTGATTAAAATAGACTAAATAGCGATACATTCACCTTTGCCTTTAAATTGGTATTCGGCATCTTTTCACTTACACCTTTATTAATTTACCCTGATTAGGATCGTGCTCATCGGATTGGTCAAAAAAAGGCTGTGCGGGTATTTCGGCTTATCACTGACAACACTGTTGAAGAGAGAATAGTAGAAAGAGCTGAGATAAAACTCAGGCTGGATTCAATTGTTATTCAGCAAGGTACGGTGTAATATATTTGTGGTATTCAGAGATAAAATTAAGAGAAGGCAGGATCTGACCTGTAGCGTTTGATAGTGAAACTAGAAAAATCTGACTTCCTTTGAGATGTTTCCCTCCTTCAACTTTAAAAGAGAATGGCAACTGGAGTGGACAAAACATGGAGGATAGAAGCCAGGAGTGTCCAACCTTGGCGACTTTTAAGACTTGAGGACTTCAGCTCCCAGCATGGCTGATTGGGGAATTCTGGGAGTTGATCCACAGGTCTTAAAGTTGCCAAGTTGGAAAAACACCCCTGATATAAGCAGTTACAGGTAGTCCTTGACTTACAAGAGCCCAACATTTCTGTTGCTAAGATGTTAAGTGAGCTTTGCCACATTTTATGACCTTTGTTGCCAGAGTTGTTAAGTGAATCACTGCAGTTGTTAAGTTAGTAACAGGATGTTGAGTGAATCTGGCTTCCCCCACTGACTTTGTTTGTCAGAATGTCGCAAAAGGTGATCATATGACCCCGGGACACTGCAATTGTCATAAATATGAGTTAGCATCTGAATTTTGATCATGTGATCATGGGGATGCTGCAATGGTTATAAGTGAAAAATGGTTATAAGTCATTTTTTTCAGTGTTGTAACTTCAAACAGTCACTAAACAGATGGTTGTAAGTTGAGGACTACTTGTAAATATTTTTTACTGAACAAAATTGCTGCATAGTTCTCTGGTGCACCAGGCAAAGGAATTTCTACCTTATTTTTAAAAAATTGTACCTAAATTACACGAGTACAGTTTTAATATGTGAATGGTTCAGTATCTGGCTTTGTTTTCTACTTTTGATGTGACTTCAGTACCAAATAAATGCTTTGCTTGATATATGCTTATAAAGCATATTGTGCTCCTGATCAATTAAAATTTAATGGTCCTGTAAAAGTTGGATAATATCATATGGTGATCTCCTCAAATTGCACATGTCAAAGTCAATCCCTTCTGTAAATCTTCGCTTTAAATTTGGCACTAAGATATGAAATATTTAAATTTCCTGTTGTACTTCCACTTTTTAATTGTAGTTTTATTAAACAACCTGCTTAGATAGGGATATGACTTTATAATTCTAGTATAGAACTCACAATGGGTTTGGAATTAAAATTCTCTGTGTTTTATGTATTAGGAAGGCTTATTGATCAGCAGTCTAACAAACTAGCAAAAGATGAAATGTTGCAAATGATCCGTCACGGAGCAACACACGTGTTCGCTTCCAAAGACAGTGAACTGACTGATGAAGACATTACCACTATTTTAGAAAGAGGTGAAAAAAAGGTGAGATAATGTGGAACATAAATCACTGTGCCTTGTTCATTTTTTCTGCTATCTGTAATAAATATCAGCTCTGAACTGACCAGAAAAAAAATATGTTAGCTTAGCTAACTTTTCATACAGAATGATTAAAATCAGCCATAGTATTTATATACATGAAAAAGACATTTCTAAAAATACGTTCTCTTTCTTTTTTGGTACTTGTGACTTTCTTTAGACAGCTGAAATGAATGAACGTTTGCAAAAAATGGGTGAAAGCTCCCTTCGGAACTTCACAATGGACACTGAAATGAGTTTGTACAATTTTGAAGGGGAAGATTACAGAGGGAAGCAAAAGGTATATTTTTCATATACATGGGGCATTGCAGCTGCATGAATTGCATTACAGAGAATGACTTTTGATTTCAGTAGGATCATAAACATATTAAAATAAGCTCTGGATGTTGCTGGGGTGAAGTTCTAGGCTCTCGTTATTGGCTCCCCCCCCCCGAATTTAGGTTGGCGTGTACTTGTGACTGGAAAGTCTATTGTCCTCTGGATGTTGCCTGAGATGCAAAGTTGAAGCCAATGCAATCTTTGGTTGCATTAACAGAGGGATAGAATCAGGCTCATGTGACATGTTAGTGCTGCTTTATAAAGCCTTAGTAAGACCACACCGAGAATGCTGCATCCAGTTTTGGTCACAATATCATAAAAAAGATGTCGAGACTCTGGAAACTCTGCAGAGAAGGGCAACGAAGGAGATTAGTGGGCTGGAGGCATATGAAGAACAGTTGCAGAAGTTGGGTATGTCTAATCTAGTAAAAAGAAGGACTAGAGGTGACATGATAGCATTGCTCCAATATTTTAGGGCTGCCACAAAGAAGATAGAGTCAGCTTATTTTCCAAAGCACCAGAAGGCAAGACAAGAAACAATGGATGGAAACTAATTGACTTCTCCTAGAACTAAGGAGAAACTGAGAACAATCAGCCAGTGGAATGCTTTGCCTTCAGAAGTTATAGGTGCTTCATCACTGGAGGTTTTTAAGAAATTGGACAGCCACTTGTCTGGAATGGGTATAGGGTCTCCTGGTTGAGCAGATTGGTTGGACTAGAAGACCTCCAAGACCCTTTCCAACTCTATTATTCTGTTAAATCAGATCAGCCAGGATTCCCCGTGGACAGAAATAGGTGAAGATTTAGTCCAGTAATATCAAGAACGTTGTCAACTATGTCAACTTGAATTTTTATGGACTTCAATTCCCAATTCCCTGGAGTCCCCCAGCCAGCATATACAGCAGTGGGTCTCAACCTTCCTAATGCCACGACCCTTTAATACAGTTCCTCATGTTGTGGTGACCCCCAACCATAAAATTATTTCTAAAACCATTGAAAATATGTGTTTTCCGATGGTCTTAGGCGACCCCTGTGAAAGGGTTGTTCGACCCCCAAAGGGGTCCCAACCCACAGGTTGAGAACCACTGATATACAGTAAATCAAACCACTATTTTTTTTAAAATTACCAAATGTCTATCCCCCATTAATTTTGCTGTCAATGCATGAAATAAGCATAGTCCAACCAGTGTAGAATGTACGATGCATGAAAGTGGTCCAAAAATTAATTATACCTAGGTCCAGGGGACGGATGCTTGGGAAAATGTATCCTAGTCAAGTTCATAATGGAATTCTCAAAAGAGTCCCACGAATGCAATTAATTTATTTTCTCTGAAGGAAACTCACCCAGGCTCATTCACGTGAAACAATGTACGTGCTCCTTTATTTCTTAATTTTCTCAAATTCAATACTGGTATGGTTTAACATATGGCAAGAAAGTTCATTACTTCTGTTTACTATTCAAGTTTCAATATTTTAAAAAAAGGCATCCTTCTGTTCAGGAGAAGAACATGAAAAAAAATACAGAAAGAATTAACCCAGCACACAACAATTTATTCAGGTTTTTGTAAAAGAAGCACCTGGGTCAGTAAGAACCTAATAATCTTCCCTGTCCTTTTAATGGGTTTATTTTTTCTAGCTGAGCATGATGGAATGGATCGAGCCTCCAAAACGAGAACGCAAAGCCAACTACGCTGTGGATGCCTATTTTAGGGAAGCTCTCCGTGTCAGTGAGCCTAAAATCCCAAAGGTCAGCACTGTAACTTTCTATGTTACACAAAACAAAGAGCTAATATATTCATTTTCATGAATGCGCAAATAAAAATTAGAATAGCATTGATACTCATATTATGTGTTTAATTTCAAAGGCTCCGCGACCGCCTAAGCAGCCAAATATTCAAGATTTCCAATTCTTTCCACCACGGTTATTTGAACTTCTTGAAAAAGAAATCCTCTATTATCGGAAGACGATAGGTTATAAGGTAAGAAACTACAACCTTAATATTAAATAAATAATACTCTAGAATTAAATAACACCCCCCTCCGAATTTACAAAGGCATCCTTTTTAAAATCAACTTTTTGTAGCACTGGCCCATTCCAAACAGGATATAGGTTATTACACAAATCACTTCTTCAGTGCCTAAGCACTGGACGGTGTGTATTCCTGCTGTGTCTTCTCCACACATACACACACGTTATATTCATGATATCCAGAAGCTTTTGGAAGCTTTAAAGAGAGCTCTTGGACATGTATTGGCTACTTATGTATTGCTGTTACTGGTACACTTGTGTGGAACAAGTGCCTGCGAGCCATTGAGGAGGAAGGGGAAAGAAATGAGTTATGATAGGTTATGTTCATCTTGCCTGAAGAACTTTCTGAGGCCTGTAAACACAAGTAAAAAGAATGTTTCTCTACTATTGCCCCGATGCCAGAGAAATATTTCCTCTCCTAACAAATCCCCAGTAGATGAAAAATGCATCAATCTTGCCTTTTGGCGTTTCAGAGAAAGGCCATAAAGGGAGCCAGAGAGGCCTCTATCCAGAACTCTTAATAGCATTGCTCGCTTACTATTCATTCACTTCATTGCTGGTTTTAGGTCCCCAGGAATCCTGACCTTCCAAATGCAGCTCAGGTGCAGAAGGAGGAACAGCGGAAGATTGATGAATCAGCTCCTCTCTCTGCCGAAGAGGCTGAAGAGAAAGAAAGGCTGCTCACCCAGGTATATATATGGCTTCTGGGCTTCACGTTTATTTCTTATTAAAAAAGAAGAAGAAGAACCTGTGATTATCAACCCGTCTGCTTGCTGTGCAAGACATTACCGTAATTATCCCCTGGAAAACTGCAAATGCTGTCTGATCATATGGATTAATTTGTAATTGCGTTGACTCGAAGCCAGAGTTGGCAGGTCTATATGCAGCCCCTCCCTCCATCCCCAAAGGGGGGAAGGGGGAGTAAATGAGATATTTAATGCATATATTTTACATTGAAACTCACACATTATCCCCTAAATAAGATAATGTTGTTGACCATAACGTGACAGCCATCCCCTACAGCTGTTGGAGGCAGGGAAAAATAAATAATTGTGTAAGCCCCAGCTGGGAAAAAACCCACATTACCAATAAAGGAGGATATTTGTAGCTCAGGGCTGAAATGAAGAGTGCTTGGTGCTCGGTGCTCTCTGAGCTTGGTTGTTTTCTTGCAGACATTTCATTACCCAAATGAGGTAACTTAATCAATACAGGCAGTCCTTGATTTATGACCACAATTGAGCCCCAAATTTCTGTTGCTAAGCAAGACTTTGTTAAGTGAATTTTGGCCCATTTCTTCCCACAGATGTTAAATAAATCAACTGCAGTTGTTAAGTTAGTAACATGGCTATTAAATGAATCTTGCTTCCCCATTGACTTTGCTTGGCAGAAGGTCACAAAAGGAGAATCACATGACCCCAGGACACTGCAGCCGTCATAAATAGAGTAAGTTGTCAAGTGTCTGAATTTTGATCATGTGACCATGGGGATGCTGCAACGGTGATAAAATGTGAAAAATGGTCTTAACTCACCTTTTTTCAGTGCTGCTGTAACTTCGAATGGTTACTAAATGAACAGTTGTAAGTAGAGGACTACTCCTGCTAGCACTGATGATGTTACCTAGTTTGGGTAATGAAAGGTCTGCAAGAAAACAGCCAAGCTCAGAGAGCACCAAGGACCCTCCTGAAAAAAAGCTGTCCATCTTTAGTGGTTATGCTCTGAATTCCTGTTTGCAAATATTGAAAGAGAAGGGATTCTAGTCTTTTGTTTTCAAAATGCAATGACCAAGTTCTCAGTAGCTAAGTAAAGTTAGAAAGTGGGAATTCGACAAAGAGAACAGTTGAAACTGACACAGTTCAAACTGAATCTAAAGGTTTGGCTTTTACCAAAATAAACCTTTCTCCTCTTCTGCAGTGGATTACTATTTATTGGCTGACCGATCCTAAGTTGAGGTCTACCAGTAGTGGATGCTTCCAGGCACTTTATGTTTAACATTTCATCAGTAACTTTCTGGCACAAAGTCTGCAAGTTTAGATTTTGTTACGTTTTTAATGAGTGTTGTTGAATCAGTGTAATTACTTTTATGCCTGAATTGCTGGGCTATTCAAACATAATTTTTAACACTCTTTGCATGTTATGAGATAGGAAGCATAGAGCTTTGTTGCATTATTCTCCAACAAAATATAACATTCTTAATATATCCTTCTATATTAGCACTTAGACTTATATATTAAGGATACATATACTTGAATCCTCCACTTGAAAGGTTGACTTAACAACTGTCTTTTGATCATTTAAATTGCCAGTGTCAGATGAAGTGAATCTTACAATGAAAATACAGATGGCTCCTAATCTCTCTTCAGAGAGAGGAAACATTTTTTTACAACAGTTTAATGTTTGAAAATAGGTACATAAAACATCTGAATCTTTTCGCCCTGGTCTGTTTACATTTCTTTTTACATTTTTCTATCCACATATTATTGGTCGAGTCAAATCAATATGACTGTCTTGCTCTTTGTTTGAATTTTTATTTTTACAACTGATAATCCCAACATGGTAGAACATCCGTAAAAGCAAAGAAATGCAGCTTGATGTTAAAGTGTGCATTTCAGCTATTATCTAAAAATATACAGCTGTTTCAGCAGATGGTAGCAGCTGCTTGATATTGTCTGGGTTCTGAAGTTAAATAGAATTGAGTCAGATTAGTACATGGTAGAGATTCCTACAGGAAATGCCAGGTTTGTAGGCTGGATTGGGAAAATTTGAAGAAAATTTTGCCACAGGAAAAACATGGAAAGCCACTTCTATATTCTATCCTGCTGCAACAAGACTAGCATGGATGTGTCCCTAAAGTCTCCCAAAACTGCCTCACCTTGAAAGAGACTCTGCATATGCAAAATGTTTTGAATTTGAAGAGCCCCCTCCCCAAATACAGGTAGTCCTCGATTTACAACCACAATTGAGCCCAAAATTTCTGTTGCTAAGTCAGACATTTGGTAAGTGAACTTTGTCCCATTTTACGACCTTTCTTGCCACAGTTGTTAAGTGAATCACTGTAACTGTTAAGTTAGTGAACAAGTTGTTAACTGAATCTGTCTTCCCTATTGACTTTGCTGGACAGAAGGTCGCAAAAGGTGATCACATTATCCTGGGACACTGCAAGCATCATAAATATGAACCAGTGGCCAAGCGACAGAATTTTGATCATGTGACCATGGGGATACTACAATGGTCATAAGTGTGAAAAACGGTCACAGGTCACTTTTTGCAGTGCTGTTGTAACTTTGCATGGTCACTAAATGAACTTTTGTAAATTGAGGACTACCTGTATTTTAAGCATGAAACACGCTACACGCAGACATTTGGCAAGTATTTTAAGACCAAAAAAGTTTGGGAACTTGAAATATTTCCAAATTAGAACAGACTGTTTCTGGCTGAAAATGGCTATTTTGTGCTCAGAAGAACATTTCAACCCTGAGATAGTTGACATATGAAAGGCTTCACGTATCCCTTAATTGGGCTTTTATGGGCAAGTCGTTCTGTGAGTTAGAACTGTGAGTTAGTAGAGCTTAATCCCAGATTTATATGCACAGCGTTGAATCTGCTCCATTCAAAAATAGACTGACATTAGCAAAACCAAATACAGGTAGTCCTTGACTTATGACCACAATTGAACCCAAACTTTCTGTTCTTAAGTGAGACACTTCTTAAGTGAATTTTGTCCCATTTTACAACCTACCTTGCCACCGTTGTTAAGTGAATCACTGCAGCTGTTCACTTATTAAGACTGTTGTTAAATGAATCTGGCTTCCCCATTGACTTGGCTTGTTGGAAGGTCGCAAAAGGTGTGATCACATGACCCTGGGATATAGCAACCATCATAAATACGAACCAATTGCCAAGCATCCAAATTTTGATCCCATGACCATGGGGATGCTGCAGTGGTTGAAATGGCCGTAGGTCACTTTTTTAAAGTGCTGTTGTAATTTTGAACAGTCACTAAATGAACTGTTGTAAGTTGAGAACTTCCTGTAGCTAATAGTCATGCGGATGTTAATCCATGCTTCAAAAAGTACCTCATTTCTTGTTGCTGATTTATTGTTTTATACAAAGGGTTGGAAGGATATTTTTTGTCTTAAGAGCAGAAGTTTTTCCATCATAGAGTGGTTCTTTCTGGATGAAGGAAATGTTTGTTGTGTACACTGGCTGGTTTTCAGTATATCTGATCTCAGAAATAAGAGTCATATCTAGCATTTTACAGTAATTTTGCAATTGGTCAAACACTGATTATCAATGGCACACTATATAAAATATTTGACATTTGTCTCTCCAGTAATTAACTTTGGTTGCTGCCAACCTTTAGAGGTTCCTGATTTAATTATTTAAAAGTTTAATGATGTTTAAGGAACTCTTTTGAGTGCCAATTTTTTGTTTATATTCCTTCCATAGTCAATAGATTTTTTTCATGCTCCCCCCCTCCATATTTTATCAAAAGTATGCATGGGAACTGGGGATTTTCTTCCCTTCCAGGTGTTAATTTCATTCACCATTTGCTTTGTAAGTGTTTGAAACAGAATGTTCCTGCGTTTAGTTCCAGAAGATTGCCTGTGACATCTGGACAAGTGCCCTCATATTCTTAAAGGGGTTTTTTTTTGTTAGTTACTTGTAATTGTTCAAGTGTGATACAAGTGAAAGCCTGCTAAGATTTGGACTGAACTTTGTTTCTTTGGAGACTTGCCATTTACAAGCATGAATAGAACAACTTCCCTCCCTTATGTGTGAGGAGATGTGTTTAAAAATAACTCAGCTTTTTATGACTTGAGTAATAAACCCGGGATAATAGATGTTTATGGAAATACTGCAAGATCATTAACCCCTGTAATTATTATGTGACATTGTACCAAGGCATTAATGAACAAATCCAACTGTATCCTCCTAAGATGCAAGATCTGACAAAAACAACTTCTTCTTTTAACAGGGTTTTACAAACTGGAACAAAAGAGACTTCAATCAGTTTATTAAAGCTAATGAAAAATATGGCCGTGACGACATAGATGATATTGCCCGTGAGGTGGAAGGAAAGTCACCTGAGGAAGTTATCGAGTATTCAGGTGCGTTAATCGTTCCTTGATTAATTAAGAATGATTGCGAACAGTTCATTTTTTTTTCCTATTGGGTTACCTTTGTAATTCTACCAAGGATGGAGAAACCTGAGGAACTTGTAATGTGGAAAGAAGGAAATGTTCTGGATGGAAAGATTTAAGATCTGCCGAGGGATTATGCCAAGATTGATGCACCATAACCCTGTAGCTGTTCCCATTCCTGCACTGATTGAGTTTTAGTTATAGAACATAGAACATAGAATAATAGAGTTAGAAGGGACCTCAGAGGTCTTCTAGTCCAGCCCCCTGCACAAGCAGGAGACCCTATACCATTTCAGACAAATGGTTATGACATGCTTCACTTGAGAGCCACGGTGGTGCAGTGTTTAGAATGCAATACTGCAGGCTACTTCTGCTGTCTGCCGACTGCCTGCAATTTGGCAGATTGAATCTCACCAGGCTCAAGGTTGACTCAGCCTTCCATCCTTCCGAGGTGGGTAAAATGAGGACCCTCGTTATTGACAGTGCTGTGGCTGGCAAGGCAGAGGGAGAGTGGCTAGATTTATTATTTCTTTCTCCTGACCACATTATAAGGCTGATCACCGTTTGGTTGAGTGATGGATTCACAAGAATCCCAGATGCATTTCCAATGCAAACATAATTCTGCTTTGCAAACTTGGCCATACTTTTGAAGGGCAGCAGCATTCTTTCAAATATTTCCCATCCTGAAGGGTCCAGGGCTCTACTTAAAAGCCTCTTCTTCCTTCCACACGCCACTCCCTTTGCTATCATTTGGGGTCATTCTGTGCCCTCTATTTTCACACATATAAGGGCCTTCATATATAGAGTTGGGTACTAAAGCCACAGATTGTTCCCAGAGGAGCTTCAGGCACAGCATGTAAATACATTTCAGAAAATAAAGTATAGTTGCTTCTTAAATGGAGTGTAATTGGCTCAAGCACCCTTCCAGTTCCAAAGCTACAAATTCTAGTTTCAAGACTTACATATGTATATGTCCAGGTAGAAATTAGGGAGAAAAGAGGTGGTTTCATTGCTATTACCTGTGGCATCTGGAATGGTGCATTGTTTCAATAATTACAATGTGAGAATGACAGAGATTAAAGAAGAAAATGGAAGAAGTTGTTATGCACTACCAACTTCTGAGCTCCTATAATACTTCCCACATTGATCAAGGATAGTCCTGGGGACAAGATATTCTTTAATCTTGTAGTTTTCAGTTACGATTAAAAAAGCAACAACGGCCAAGCCTGTTTTATGCTTGCCTGGATGCTCTTCTAGAAAAAGAAAGTTCCTGATTTGGATAAAATTCTGTCTTTTGTACAAGTTGTTTTGATGGCACCTTTTGAAATGTTCCATTTGCAGTTGTTCAACATCAATACCGAAAACTCAGAAGACTTTACAGCCCTCCGTGAGGCATTTAGAGGAACTAGCTGGTTCACCCCATAAAACTGAATACAGGAAAAATCGGGACACAATATTTTTACACAATGCCTGATTTACCTTTGGAATTCATTATCATTAAAATATAGTGCTGGCTGTCAGCTTGGCCAGCTTTAAAAAAAAAAAAAGGATTCCACTGATTCAGGGGGAATCATAGGGATCACTGGCTGTTTGCCTCAATGGCACTGGATCTACCTCTGAAAACTCTGCTGGGAGGCTAATGGACTCCTTGTGCAGTTGGTTGGCCACTGAGAATAAACAGCTAGACCAGATGGGGCACGGTTTCTGTTTTTGTTGCGTAGAGTCAACTTGAAATGCGAGAAACTGCATTTTGTAGCAGATGGAAAGGCCTGTTGGCTTTAGCCTGTACCTCTTTTTTCTGTGCCTCTTCCACCCACCCTTGAATAACACTTAATAGGCTTTAAGCTTAATCGCTTATTTTAAAGTTACATTTTCTCTCCAACTTATAATGCTCTCTTTGAAAGAAATGTCTGAAAAAATTTGTAGGAAATTTGGATTGCTTCATCTACTTCTACAAATTCAGTCAGATACGTATTTTCTTTCTTGTTTTGAATTTCTGAAAGATCTGAGAGCATTGGCATAAAAAAAGGTTAATGGCATAAAATATAACTTGGTAAGTTTTCAGAATATTTAAAACATTCTTCTCACTATAGAGATGCTGTAATTGCATTTAGCTCAGTTTATGGAACTCAGTGCTTTAATTGCTTTGAAGTAATATTCCTTTTATTATGGAACATGTAAGATTATTATTATTATTATTTTAATTTCAGCTGTATTTTGGGAACGTTGCAATGAACTCCAGGACATTGAGAGGATCATGGCTCAGATTGAAAGAGGAGAAGCCAGAATACAGAGGAGGATTAGCATCAAAAAAGCACTGGATGTCAAAGTAAACCTGTCCATTGATATTCTCCTAATTAATCTTGTCCTTCAAAAATCAGCTGGTGGTGATTCCCCCCCCCCCCCCGCTGACAAAATTATTCTCTGCCCTTTCCTAATTTTTCATTTCAAAACTTCCATAACCAATTCAGAAGTAGGCAAACTTAGTCTTTGTGTTGATACGTGTTTATAAGGCTGTAAGAATTGAAATGCCCCAATATATTAATTTACATCAAGCTTGTGTTAGACATTTAGCAACTACATAGATATTTTTTCTCTCCAACAGTCTGTCCTTAATCTGGTGTTTCAAGTTTTTCAACAGTACAGCCACTGCCACTGTAACGGAATCCATCCGCATTATTATTGTTTAAATTGTGTGAGTGTGACAAGTGGGAGTTTTGTGATGGGGAGGTTACATCAGGTGAGGGTCATTGGGAGGTGAACTGGTGGGGGGCTTGCGTGGATTGGTTGTGGGTCGGTGCTGTCTCTGGTTAGCTGTGTGGTTGATTTGGATTCTGAAGGGTTTGTAGGCTGGCTGTAGGAACCTGGCTACCGGTGGCACTCCGGATACGTTTCAAGGTGCTGGTGCTCACCTATAAAGCTCTTCATGGCTTAGGCCCGGGATACTTGCAGGACCATCTCCAGCCGTTCTCCCATCGTCCTGTGCGCTCTCACAGAGTCGGCCTCCTCAGGGTGCCGTCGGCCAAACAATGTCGGCTGACGGCCCCCAGGAGGAGGACGTTCTCTGTGGGAGTCCCGAACCCTCTGGAATGGATTGCCCACTGAGCTCAGGACAGCCCCCGACCTTCTTTCCTTCCGTCGCGAGCTGAAGACGTGGCTCTTCCGCCAATTAAACTGATCCGTTTGGGGGTACACTGGGATAATTTTAAATTGTTTTTTAATTGGGTTACTGATTTTAATTTTGTATTGTATTGTGATTTGTATTGAATTTGTCATTTTGTAAGCCGCCTTGAGTCCCTAGGGAGAAAGGCGGCATATAAATTGCAATAAATAAATAAATAAATAAACCTACGAACCCCTCAGAATTCAAATCAACCACACAGCTAACTAGAGACAGCACCGACCCTCAACCAACTCACGCAAGCCCCCCCCCCCCAAGCAGTTCACCTCCCAGTGACTCTCACCTGTTGTAACATCCCCATCACAAGACCCTCACTTGACACACACATACCTGAAGCCCTTATAAACAGAAGAACATTAACATCCCCTAAACTCCACTGAAGGTGTTACCTAGCCTGGTAACGAAAAGTTTGGAAACCAACCCACAAGCTCGGAGAACAAACATTCACCCTTTCCTTTCCTTTGATACGAGTCACTCTTCTTTTTTCTTCCACTTTCCCAGCATTAGAGCCATTTCCAGAAAGCTAAGTCTTCACATAATGTCTCCGAAACAGGATGATTTGTCCCAATATAAGCATACCGCTATTCTGGTGTTACATCGCCAGTATTAAGACCTTAATGCTTAGAACTACTAAATACATTTTGAGCGGAAGTGATTTATTTGCTTTGACCTTGGTGTAATTACAGTGAATTTCCTGCCCTTGAAATAAGAGTGCATAGCTATTGAATGAGATGCAGACAAATGCCTAGCAGAAGAAATCTGATACATGCATATATGTTTATATATATATATTTAAAATTTTTTAGATTGCAAGGTATAAAGCCCCTTTCCATCAGCTGCGAATTCAGTACGGAACCAACAAAGGCAAAAATTACACAGAAGAAGAAGATCGATTTTTGATATGCATGTTGCATAAAATGGGATTCGATAAAGAAAACGTGTATGAAGAGCTAAGACAGTGTGTGCGCAATGCGCCCCAATTCAGATTTGATTGGTTTATTAAGTCCAGAACCGCCATGGTAAGCAAAGGGTCTGCTGATACGGGCTTGGTTTATGTCTGCATGTCTTTTGTTTGTTTGTTTTAACTCCTTTTGGTTTTATAGATCTGATTGTGTCATTCTATTTTTATTTTGAAATAGTTAACTATTTATTTTGCAAAAGAAAAAAATATTAAAAATCTGCTTCTCTTGAGCTGTTTTGCTCTAGTGCCACATCTGTATGGCTATCCATTTCCCATCTAAGAATATGTGATATCCAGATTTCAGAAGTGTCATCATAGAGATGGAAGGGACCTTGGAGGTCTTCTGTCCAACCCCCTGCTCAAATAGGAGATTCTATACCATTTCAAACAAGTGGCTATCCAGTCTCTTCTTAAAAACCTCCAATGATGAAGCACCCACAACTTCTGAAGGCAAGGCATTCCACTGGTAGAGTGTTCTCACTCTTAGGAAATTTCTCCTTAATTCCAGGTTGCTTCTTGATTGGTTTCCATCCATTGTTTCTTGTCTTGCCTTCAGGGCTTTGGAAAAATAGGTTGACCCTCAAGTACTGGAATATTGCTATCATGTCCCCCCAGTTCTTTTTTTCTCTAGACTAGCCAAACCCAAATCCTGCAACCATTCTTCATATGTTTTAGTCTTTAGGCCTTTAATCATCTTAGTTGTTCTTCTCTGCACTTTTTCCAAAATCTCAACATCTTTTTTGTAATCTGTGCAGAACTACATCAGGAACTGACATAACAAAACACTAGCATCCCAAAGATACTTTTTCAAAGTACTTTCTTTGTCTCTTTGTTAGAGACAAAGTCCAGTTAAGAAAAAGTGCCTTTGGCTTCTGAAAAAGCACCTTTGGGACAATCATGACCTGGATGGCTGAGAATCTCTATAGACATAATATTGGCATGTAAAGAACTAGAATTGGGGTCTGTTTGATGACATTGAAAATTAAAAGAAATTTGCCTGTTGTAATGCCAAGGTAACTATGATTTGTTTAGATGAATTGTCACTCTTTGGGGTTATTGTTATATTCTGGATAACATCCGCACTGGAATATTTTTAAAGCTCCATTGGATATATCGGGATCCATTTAAACAATTTACATGTGCTTTATGTTGATTATCTTCTTAAATTCTGCCTGAAGTGAAGATAAATTTTCCCTGCAAAAACAAATGTACAATTGTTTGACTTTGGGCAGATAAAATGAAATGACATATTAAATTTTAACTGCAGAGGATATCATTGTTAAATTGTCTCTGCGGTGTATCATTTCTAAACCTCAGCATGAATTTCTAGAACTATTTTCTTTAGCATAAAAGAACATGAAAAGATGACCCAGACAAATGTGAGTTCCTTTGGAGAATATTCAGATTTAATGGCAAATCCCAATGCTTCCATAAGAGACCAATACTAAACAAATATATGTTACTCTCTAGCTTATGTAAAAGAATATCTCATTTTCCATAATTAGCTGCTTCAGCTTACCATAACTTGGTGTCTTCTACATGCAGCTACAATTCTCCCCCCATTCCCCCTTTTTTTGTCATAAACACATCAAGTTATTGGGGAAATCTGATTTTGAAGAACAAAAGGTGTTAATGCTCCCAAGAAGTTGGAACAATATAGTAAAAAGTCTATAAAATTAGTAAGGATAAATGGCTAAGAGAGAGGACACGAAGAAAATGGGTAAAGGGGTTTATTTCCATTTTCTTAACATGAGGACTTGGCTTCATCTAGTAAAATGCACTTGTGGAGAATTCAGGACAGGCAGGAATTTGTTGACACAAGGTATAATGATAAGACACTAGTTTAGATAAGCCTTCTCCATATGTCCCCTCCAGATGTGTGGGTGCTGCAACTCCTTGACTTCCCAACCATGTTGGACCCATGACATCTGGAGGATACCATGTTGTAGAATAGGGGTGTTGAAGTCAAGGCCCGTGGGGCCCACGGGGTTGGTCTGGAAATGGCAAAGGACCAGTCTCTGGCAGCCAAAACAGGGCATGGGGTGGGCTGCACGTGGACGGCTTCCTACAGCCCTCTGCCGGCCCAAACGGGGCATGGGCCCGTGCATGATCCCCCTGTCCCCTGTTTTCAGCCTGGACAGCCTCCAGGCCTCCCGCCCCCCAAGCTGGCCCGTGGAGAACTACAATGCTGATCCGGTCCTTGAAGAAATCCTGTTTGACTCCTCTATTGTAGAGATTGCATCTACCATTTTTATAGAGGAGCAGTGGTGATTAGTAATGCCACATCCAGGCTCAATATATCTCTGAATGCCAATAACTCAAAAGTGCCAATGGAGTGGGAAATGTTCTACTTACAGGATTCCTAGGAGAAACTGAGGGGTATTGTGGTGAGCGTCTAAAACAGATGAATCCTTAATGTGAATCAATGAGTCTCTTTTTATATCCAGACATCGATTCTATTCACTTATTGGTTTCATTCTTGAAACTTCTCAAAACATCCGTGCTTAAATATACAAAAGGGGAAAAAAAAAAGCAAATATGATATGTTTCTGCATTTTGCTTGGAAGATCTTCATTATGTTCCGATGGCCACAAGATGTCTCTCTGGTTCTAGATAAATTAGCTGATTTACCTCTGTGTGGCTCATCAGCTCTGCTTTCATTTGAAAAAATATTTTTCAGAAAACCCATATAATTCTACAGCAAATCTTATTTTCTTGCAAGCATATAGCTTACACAGTATGAATCTATAAGTGGTGCGATCATTTCTATAAGACTCCTGTTTCTTCTTCTTTCCCAATCTTTACCTTTAGATGCTCTGCTTTAGTAGCGGCCTTTCTTCTTAGTGACAGTGATAAAGATGGGATCGTTAAACACTACTGATTTTCAGATCTGTTCTTTTCAAGGCATGATGTTTGCCTGTTCCCAGTGTACATTTTTTCTATTAGTCCAGGTTTGTTGGTGTATGTATTCTGTTCTGAGCTAGTCAGTATACTGTATCATTTTTCATCATTAACTTATATGCCTCATGGTCTATATCAGTGAAAAACAATATTTCTTCCTTTTAGGATGCAGGCAAGTTTTCCTGCCCCTCATAGTGGAGATTCCATATTTTGACAATTTCTTTATGATCGAAAAATAGTCACTGCTGATAATATGCGTAACACCAGCACTTCGTTTCTCTACTTCCTTCTGTTCCAAATGATGGCTGTGTTGCAGTAACTACTCTTAATTAGAAAACAACCTGGAAACCACCTAGAAAACTTCAAACTCTAAGGTTACTACTTACAGAAATGGAATATTAGCAACAAAAAGGCATCTAGTAATACTACGTGATTTGAATGTCAAAATATATGGCAAATATTTTACAGGAAGTTTCATGGAATAATTAAAAGCTTATAGCAGTGATTATAAAGAGCCCTTGTGAACAAGTACAGCTCTCTGTTCTTATTAGAGATGTGAATATAATCTTTATAATTTGGGGCAACATGGAATACAAATAAGGAAACAAAACTCTTGATGTGCCTTATATGTGTGAAGAGATAGCATAGTTACAAATAATATCTAAATTCAGGTTTGAAAAAACAGTCTGAAGTTGATACTACAGCAAAATATTGCTAATGTTTCTCCATTAATTTGCAAGAGTTGGTATTGTGCTCAGTGTCTCCCATAAATACATTTTCCAAAGCAGGGGATGTAGCTTGGCAGAAGTACCAGCCAATATTTATTGATCTAATACTCCTATTACAGTGATGGTCTGAATGGCAGTGATAACTTCCAGTAAATCCTAATGTCTCCATTGCCCTTATGTCTCCATGGCCAAACAATGATTCACGTTGATGTAGAAATATGAGAAGGAAGGAGCTCTTGGAAAATCTTCAAATTATGAAAGAGAAGTTCAGAGTAAAGATGTTTCATACTTATATAGGCTTGGAATACTTCCAAAATACTCAAGGTATTTTTGTTTTCACAATTCAGTTTTGAGGTTGGTTTGTAACATAAGGAAGTCAAAATCTCACCGGTCTTCTGCTATTGCCATATTTGAACAAGGAAACAATTCCCAGTGTAGTGCGTTAAATGAGTGGGAAGGTGAACACCTGGTATTGTGCATTCCTCCGTAACTAGGGAACGTTTTTAAATAGTCTAAAATATGTTGAACTGTTTTTGGGCTGCGCATAAAAGCTGGAAGAAACTCAGATACCAGAAATTCTTAGGGAATCTGGGGGGCTGAAAGTCTGTTTTCATTCTAGTCATTGCTGTGTCCTTTTTTCTTTTTTTTTTTTTTAATCAAAATGGCACTCCATGAGAAGAAGAATAGCTGTTTTTTTTTAACATACCTGGTCTTGTTTCATTCTGATTTTGGTACAATAATTCATATTGGTCCGTTCTGTATCTGCATTTCTTCATCTTATGGTGAATACAAGCCCCAAATTTGACCATTCTTAGTAGAGGCTTGTTCACAGAGAGCTTAAATGCTAAGCGGTGTAGTTTTGGAAGAAAAGCTGGAGGTTGCAGGTCTTTTCCCCCTTCCCTCCATTATTTAGTCTGTGGGTCTTATGGAGGAGTAGTTATTTCACTTTTTGAACGGCTTTTGTTGCCCTCAAGTGAGAGCATCACTTCAGTGAAATATTATTTGCTACCATAATTAAGCATATTGAGATCGTATTCCAAGCCAAAAAAGATTTATAATGAGATTGATGTGTTTGGTGTTAAAATCACAAGCGGTGTTTATAGCACTCACGTATCCAAATTTTAGACGTATTTTAAATAACACAATCTGTTTCTCTATATAAAATGGTTGATTAGCAGAGAGTACAGGAAATTTTATTGTATGGTTGTAAGGCTTAGGAAGGGATGTTTCAGTGGAGAAAACACTGCTGCTGTTAATTGGACCAACTCATCTTCTCCCTTCCTGGTTGTGAAGTGTATGAAACGGTCAACTAAAAATACTTTTCAAAATATTTTTTGACAACATTTCCATCTGTCAATTACAAATGGATCCTCACATACGCTACATTGGTACAGTTCTTGAAAAGAACTTCATGCATGTGAAGCCCCACACAAGCTAAAGAACTGGCAGCTGGGGCTTCATATTTTTCTACGCATAATAAATAATAACTTGTTTCACTTGTGTCCTGCCCAATTCAATAAGACTGGGTAGCTCTTAACAATCAAATTACAGTAAAATCAATAAAACAGAAGGATAAAAGATGGCAAAAGGGATGAAGTGAGGGGTTAGATGGACAGACACTTTATTTATTTTGATCATTGGCCAATAAAAGTGCATTGAATAAAACAAACCAGCATAAAACTATCCTCTAACAACAACTATTGGCAACCGTTTGTGGGTGAAGCTTACACATAATAAATATGAATTTATCTTGATTGTTTAATAGTCATGCAGATAAAAATGATCAGAGTGCCACGTAAATTTAAATAAAGAGCAATAATCAACTGGTGGCAAATATTCCTGCAGAACTGGCAATATAGAAGAACATGAGCTGTGGTTTCTATGGTACCCATATCACAGGAGAAGTGAGGGGCTCTTTGTCTCTTACCAAGGCCTGGGTCAAGGAATTTCTATGTCCAGTGCATAATTTTAAGAATTATGCCTATGCCACCCCATTTAGAGAACTCTTTCAGAATCAAGAGCTGTGGTGGCGCAGTGGCTAGAATGCAGTACTGCAGGCTACTTCTGCTGACTGCCGGCTGCCAGCAGTTCAGTTCGATTCTCACCAGTTCAAGGTTGACTCAGCCTTCCAACCTTCTGAGGTTGGTAAAATGAAGGCCTAGATTGTTGGGGGCAATCGGCTGACTCTGTAAACTGCTTAGAGAGGGCTGTGAAGCAGTATATAACTCTTAAGCGCTATTGTTAGTGCTGTCATAGAATCACAGACCCTGGAGGTCTTCTACTCCAACCCCCTGCCCAAAGAAGGAATCTTATGCTATCCTGGACATATGGTTGTCCAATCTTTTCTTGAAAATGTCCGGCGATGAAGCACCCACAACTCCAGGAGGCAAGCTATCCCCTCGGTTAATTTTCCTCACTGTCAAGAAATTCCTCCTTATTTCCAGGTTGGATCTCCCGCAGATGAGCTGCAACCTGTCCTGCCTTTAGGCGCTATGGAGAACAAAATAAACAGATAAGAAGGCTCTTGATTCTTTGCTATTTATGGTTTTAAGGAATGTACGGTTCTATGGTAAACCAAACTGAAAAGCAAAACAGGGCAATGTAAGAAAGGCAAAGGAATTTTCTGGAGAAAGATTCTCTTATGCCCCTTTCTATATGACAAAGCAAATCTCACCAAACGTACTTTAGATGAAGTTGTTCTCCAAAGTAGAAAAGGGCACAGTTGCGTTTATCTTAAAGCGGCCACCTGTTTCCAGAAAATCAGTCTGGCAGTGTCTACCCTAAAGGATTGCGGAGTGCTTTGGATTCCGTTTGCAGCTCTACCTTTTCCTGGGGTCTTAATGTCTGCCTTTTGGAACTGCTGCATGATCTCAGGGGATGGTGTGGATCTATATACAGAGATGCAGTTTGGTGTCATGTTCACAATTTTGTGTACTCCAGAGGGCTTTTCTGGAATTGGATTCAAAGTGCAGTTCAGCTCTACGCTTCAAGTAGTTATTCCACAATCTCATAGGGCAAAATGAGGGCTTTGGCCCGCCTCCTCTTCAATCCTTTGGATTATAACTACTTTAGAGTGCGTCCTACTGCTAAAGTCAACAAACATAAAAGCTACGTTGCCAGCATGAAGCACATTTTAATAAGATTTCTTGGCTTCGTTTCAGCCTTTCAGCGTGCATGAATTATCCGCGCCTCCTAGCCTGGACATCTTGCCTTTTAATGTTTCTGTTTGGCTTCCTTTGGTTAAAGTGCTGCAGAACTTGATATTTCCTTTTGATCTTATACAGGAACTCCAGAGACGGTGCAATACGCTCATATCACTCATTGAAAAGGAAAATATGGAAATTGAGGAAAAAGAAAAAGCTGAAAAGAAGAAGCGGGGAACCAAGACACCAGTGGTAATTAATGAATATCTTCTTGTCGCATTTATTTATTTTTTACATTTAAAACGCGTCACATTTCCTTCGGTGAATGCAGAAGAAGCTTTGAAACAGAAAGGAAAATAAATGTTCAAATTCAGTCGAAAAACATAAACCAGTAAAACTCAATTAATAACAACTCAAAAACCATATTGGCCAATAGGGGAAAATCTTGCAGCTGGATAAAAAAAAATGTATCCATCCTTCTAGAAAGGGGAAAAATAAAACAGCTGCCAAGATAATTTTTAAAAAACACTTCCAAACATTAGATTACAAGTTAAGTCTTTTCCAGTGGTGGGTGTTCAGGGACTCCTGAGAGAATGTGCAAGGCCATTGCATTTTGACTCTTCTGCTAGTGGGAGAGATTCACATGAAAGATATTGGTATCTGAAACTCAAATTTCTTTTGTTAGGAAAAAAATGAGTAAGAATTTGTAAAGGAGAAATCTGCTTCTTGGACAGTTTGCATAGAATGTACTGGTTAAAATGTGATGAGTTATACTGCTGAATGAATTCGAAATCTTTAAATACACAGTTGCAACAGAATTCACGAATTGCAGTCTTTGTAAAGTTAAGACTGGCTCCTAGAACTGCAGGGGTGAGAGAAAGTTGGTGAACCTTTTGAGACTATCCATAATCTTACTGTAACGTGTTTAGAGCTTCATTGGGTAGATAAAATGAATCTGGTTAAACAGCAACCCAAACGCATCGTTTACCATTTTTTGTTGGAAAAAAAGCATGTTAATTAGTTACAAAATAGAGTTGGAAAGGACCTTGGAGGTCTTCTAATAATCCAACTCCCTGCTCAAGCAGGAGACCCTATGCCATTTCAGACAAGTGGCTGTCCAGTCTTTTCTTAAAAACCCTCCAGTGATGTTCTGAAGGCAAGCTGTTCCACTGGTTAATTATTCTCACTATTAGGAAGTTTCTCCTTAATTCCAGGTGCTTCTCTCCTTGATTAGTTTCTACCCAATATAAGAAAAGGATGAAGTTCAGCAAGTTCAGACTTGCAAGATAGCACTATAGCAATAGCACTTAGACTGATATACCGCTTCACAATGCTTTTACAGCCCTCTCTGAGCAGTTTACAGAGTCAGCCTATTGCCCCCAACAATCTGGTTCCTCATTTTACTGACCTCGGAAGGATGGAAGGCTGAGTCAACCTTGAGCCGGTCAGGATCAAACTGTTGGCAGAATTAGTCTGCCATACTGCATTCTAACCACTGTACCACCATGGCTCTAAGATGTTTTTCTTAGAGCCAATCTCAATAAAAGACATTTTAGCCTTCCTGTGGAGTTGATCTCCTGGTTAGTATACCTACTGGGCCCGATAGCATGATCCACATACTGTACCTCTGTTATGAAAGGCAACCTCCAGTTGTGGCAACCAACCTTATGTGTTTTATAGCCCTTCAAAGTCAGGCAGGGTTATTGTTTAATTGATTGGAACATCTGACTCAGCTTCCCCCTTTAAAAGAGCTGGGTTTTTTTGGTAGGATGTTTTCAGTTTCCTCAGCAAAGTCACTGAATTTGATTAATGAGTTTAATAAAAACATGGCATACCAGTCTGTTTCAGATGGTGTCTGTTTAACTCAAATCGCTGTGTATTAGTAGAACTTATTTGAAGTTATGACCACATCGGAGGTCACAGACAGTTTTACAAGATTCCACATAGTTTTAAAAGGTTTGCAAATTTTCTCTCAGCACTGTGTGTCTTTTCAAAGGCCCTGTTTGTACATCTTTTGGGTCAAAATGTGTGTATATGGATGGATGAAAGGTAGCGAAGGTTCTTTGTTACCTTCAGCTGGCGACATAATGGCCTATTCAATTTCATTACTTTTCTAAAATACCGTATGAGTAATGAAAATGACATTTTCTTTTTTCCTCCCTTTAGTCTCAAAAAAGAAAAGCCGAATCTGCTACAGAAAACTCTGGGAAAAAAGATGCCAAGAAAGCAAAGACGTAAAACTGAGAAACAGTATCCAACTGAAAAAAAATATTTTCCTCTCTAACCCATGTTTTTGATGCTGTCTGTGTATTCCTAGTACCGTCTCCCTCAATTCCTCGTGGTTTTAATTTTTGCAAATCTGTATTTTTTACAATGCCTTCCTTTACCTATTGAGTAGCTTAATATTTTATGCATTCCAATATTTTTGTGCACTTGTACTTTGTGATATTTCTCATGTCTTCAGCAAAATTTACTCGGTTCTTGTTCTTCTAAAGATTGTGCTGAGTTTTTTTAGCTTTCATGTTTTATATGCTGCTGCTTTCATACAAACGAACCCCCCCCACTCCATTGATTCCGTAGTTGTATTATTGTTTGCTACTTTATATAATTGTGGAGAACTAAATGGAATTAAAATAGCCTGAGGTGAAAGACACATTTAACGTTGTCTACTCATTTTAAATTCTTTTTCATGTACAGCTTTTGATATTTTAAAGGAGTACTTACAGAATTGTCTGCAAGGATATCAAAAATGGTTTTTTTATTTTTGGAAAAGCAACTGGACTGATTCTTTTGAGGAGGAAGAAGATGTTTTGCTTCCTATCCTGGAAGCTTCATCAGTTATATTAGATGGTGTGGGAGATGGAAGGACAGTTATTGACAGTTGAGATTATTTGGGGTGAGAGGTGGGAGGGAATGATAGGTTCTGACAGGATGGTGGTTGGGGGATGGAAAGATTGTGTTTTCTTTGAAATCAACACTCTCTGAGAGCTGTTGTGGTTACTTGGGTCACCGGAATCAGAGACGTGGAATCTTCTTGGAACAACCAAATGGAAATGTCTTTTTCTTCTTCTTCCTCCTCAAAAAAATAAAAAAATAAAAAAAAAAATCAGTTGCCTTTTCAAAAATAAGATACAACTGTGACCTGGATGACAGAATTTTCATTGACATTTGTCTACGGTTATGTTCTTGCATCGTTCTTCCCTTTTTGGAAGGGAAGGAGATTTATTTGCAGGCTATCATTCTTATCCTTTTCTTGCTATGCTGTTATTTTCCATCCTGCTATTTTCTTGATGTCTTACGTTGAAAGGCAAAATATTCTTCACCTACACTCAGATTTCTCCACTTGCATATTATTTCAAGTCTTGGATGCCCGTATAAGATAGCAGTAGCGGAGGATAATCATAGCTCAGGTTGAAATGTTGGGATCTTGGTGTTTGTTTTGGGCATGGAGCTTCCCAGTGTAAAGGTTTTCAAGCTGTACAGTACATGTCAATCATCATGATTATAAGTCATGTAGGATATCTACATTTATCTGCTGTTCAGAGATAAAGCATCAGTTATGTAAAGGTAAAGGTTCGCCTCGCACATATGTGCTAGTTGTTCCTGACTCTAGGGGGTGGTGCTCATCTCCGTTTCAAAGCCAAAGAGTCAGCGTTGTCCGAAGACGTCTCCGTGGTCATGTGGCCGGCATGACTAAACGCCAAAGGCGCACGGAATGCTGTTACCTTCCCACCAGAGGTGGATCCTATTTTTCTAGTTGCATTTTTTACGTGCTTTCGAACTGCTAGGTTGGCAGAAGCTGGGACAAGGAACGGGATCTCACCCCGTTATGCGGCACTAGGAATTTGAATAGCTGAACTGCTGACCTTTTGATCGACAAGCTCAGCTTCTTAGCCACTGAGCCACCATGTCCCTTTTATCAGTTATGTAGAGCATTCTAATTTGGTTACAAAATTGAGGAATCGGAGAATGAAGAGAGTTCTGGTTATAGAGTATATCAGGAGTTCTAGTCCTGCCTTAGGCGTGAAAGCCAACTGGGTGACTTTGAGCCAATCATCAGAAGACGCTGAATTCTAGTCCCATGAAGGCCAGTTGGGTGATCTTGAGCCAGTCATTCTCTTTCAGCCTAATCCATTTCACAGGGTGGTTATTGTGGGGAATGTCAATGTCGAACTGAACCTGGCAGAAGCCATCTTCTTGTTCATTGTTGCCACACAGTGTGTGTGTGTGTGGTGGGGGGAGAGGAGGTTGGAATGCCTCCCTAGACACAACACAGAGCTTTCTTGTGGGAACCAAGGTCATCTTCCTAGGTGACAGATGCAGATGGGGAGGAGTGCCTGAAAAGCCCACCAGTTAACCTAATTGGCCAATGTGGCCAGTGACACTTGGGGAAGAGGTTACTTTCTATTTTAATTATGCTGAAACCTTGGGACCTATTCAGAGTTGATTTTACACTAAGTGTGCCGATATGATGTACCCAATAAAGAAGTTCTTTGAGGAAGATAGCAGCCTCAGAGTTCTGATTTGATTGGATTCTTTAGTCGGGACCTTGATGGGGAAAACAGGGAGGAAGGCATGTTGGATATATTCACCACCTTAAGTTACTTGTAAAAATTATAAAGGTGGAATACAATAAATAAAAAATAAAATTCCACATGATGCATAGATGTTTTGGGTAGACATCATGCCAGGTTATGTTATTCTTTACATGATAAGATTCTCCTTCCAAAGGAAGCAAATATTCTTTGTTGATTCGGACAGCTCCTACCAATTCCTCCACAAAAATACACAAAAACAGCTACTTTGGATGTCTAACAATCAAATTTTACCAGGCATCCATGTCTGCTCTGAAAGTTGCTTTCTCTAGTCAAAATCATCTGCATGCTTGTGGGATATTATTTCCCAGAAATGCATGATTCAGATCTGTGTACATGGAAGTGTGGAAGATATTTTTTTTATTTATCAAATTTAGAGACTGTCCATCTCAGCAACTCTGGGCAATAAACAATTAAAAACTAGAACCATTAGAGATAATAGTGTCTTTAACCCAGTGATGGCGAATGTGATACGCGTATCAAAGATCACACCCAACAATTTTGATGACACTCCAATACTCGGCAACAACTATCCTTGGAAGCATGCCCAGTTCTTGTGTGATATTTGGAGGCCGTTGAAGAATGGGTTGTGTTTTTGTGCAACTGCTGGACCCTCCAAAAATGAGTGTGTTTTACTTATATTTCATTTTTGTAATTATTTGACATTTCTTGACATACTACATAGCACCACACGATTGCACTTATTATTTTTCTTAATAAATCAATATGCAGAGAATTGTTTCTTGTGTCTCTGACGTTTGGTCTCTCCCTCCCTCTCTCCCTCCCTCTCCCTCTCCCTCCCTCCCTCCTCTAATGCCTGGCATTAGGCATTTTCCAAATTTCTGATATGCTGAGCCCAAAAGGTTGGGCCTCACTTCTTCAACCTCTGCCTAGTTGAAACAAAGGTGCTTTTTCAATAGGCAACTGTACTTTCATGTTTTCAGAACTGAAGATGTTTCTTGAATGAGAAGCAAAACGTTTTCAAGGAAAAACAAAGTCCAGTTGCCTTTTTAAAAAGCAGCTTTGGGACAACAATACCTGGATGACTGAGAATCTCTGTAGACACGTACCAAGTTGGAAGTTCATGAGTTTAGGGAAGCAAGTAAAACCAGCAGCAGAGGTTTTAGAGAACAAAGTTTGAAGTGTTTAAATAAAGACAGAAGAGCCATTCAAAAGCTTCTCAGTTTGCAAGCCCAGCCTTTTGATTTAACGTTTCGATAATCGCAACACAAAAGCCAGCCCAGTGTTTATCGTACTTGAACTTCACAAGGCCTAAACACAAGCTACATTGTGGTGGTGCAAGACAAAACGAGATGAAGGCGCCCAAGGTAACTCTTTGTGTCACTTTGAAGCCCTGGATTCCTTTATCTTTCTGGTCATTGGTGAAATACGGAGGCCAGCTGAGGAGGGCTCTCAAGACTGTGGTTTGCCATTATTCCTTGCTTTGGTTTAAATGCCACATACAAGTTTGCAAAAAAGCCTCTCGTCTTTTGTTCCTCTGGAAGATGAACTCAACAGTACCAACAAATTAATAAGGAGCTATCCAACCTGGAGGGAAATGATACAGCTGTCACGCAGATGCAAGATTTTGACTTCCTATGAGGTTTTTTTTATTGCTCTGTTAGATCAAGGCTCTAACAATGGGAGGTAGCTCTTTGTCCAAGTGCAAAGAAAGGATTAAATAAAGCAGTAAATCACGCTGGTATTTGGGAGGATCAGGGACATTTTCGGAGTTTTAATACTAAATTGATAACAAGATCACGATAGAGGTAGGACTGATCTGAGTCACAGTAAAATATCAACCAAGGATTGAATTTAACCTTGGTCTCTCTGGGGCTGCACCGGTATTTAATTGTTAAAGTTCTACATAGATAGTCTAAATAGATAGTCCTCTACTTACAACCACAATTGAGGCCAAAAATTTCTGATGCTAAGCGAGACAGATGATCAGTTTTGCCCCATTTTACAACCTTTCTTGCCACAGCTGTTCAATAAATCACTGCAGTTGTTAAGTTAGTGACATGGTTGTTAAATGAATCTGGCTTCCCCATTGACTTGGCCTGTCAGAAGGCTGCAAAATCACATGGCCCTGGGATAGTGCAACCGTCATAAGTGTGAACCAGTTGCAAAGCATCTGAATTTTGATCATATGATCCTCAGGATGCTGCAACAGTTGTAAGAGCCTTGATAGTACAGTGGTTGAGTGCACCCTGTCATTAACACAGCTGCCTGCAATTTCTGCTGGTTCGAATCTCACCAGGCTCAAGGTCGACTCAGCCTTCCATCCTTTCTAAGGTGGGTAAAATGAGGACCCAGTTTGTGGGGGCAATAAGCTGACTTTGTATAAATATACAAAAGGATGAAGGCTATTGCTTAGCGCATTGTAAGCCGCCCTGAATCTCCGGAGAAGGGCGGCATATAAATCAAATTAAAAAAAAAAAAAAGTATGAAAAACAGTTATAAGTCACATTTTCAGTGTTGTTGCAAATTTGAATGGTCACTAAATGAACTGCTGTAAATTGAGGATTAGCTGTAGTGTATCACAACTGGATACATATTCACAAAAACACTGTGCTGCCACTACTTATGTGTGGAAACCTGGAATTGGTCAGATCTCAGCTTCTGGGACCCAAGAGTTCAGTTCAACACAAAATTCTTTTTTAGATTTCATAAAAATTACAACTTTCTTTTATATGAGCAGGAGGGTTGGGGAAAAATATCTACTCAGGACAAAGAAAGGGAAATTAACTACAGCTGCACTCAAATCCTACTTATTCCAAAAATCCTTGCATGAATAGCAGTATTTCCATTTTCAATGGACACTGAAAATGATCATTGTTATGGAAGATATTGTATTAAAACATTTACATAAAATAACGACAGTGCGCTTTTGAAATCTGGCATTTGAACTGTACTTTTTAAAGGGAAAAAAAAATCTAGAGAAGGAATATTGTTTAATGCCAATTTTATATGGCAAATTTTGAAGAGGCTTGAGTTTTGCATGCAAAATATATTTGCTCTCGGATTTTTAATATTCCAGACAATTTCCAGGACTTAA